TGTCTGATGGCTCGCCCGGGCCTGCGCTGGTGATGTCTGTGTTCGTTCCAACAAAAAGTTTCTTGTGCTATGACGAGAACCTACGAGGCAGCACCGTCGCGGTGCGAGCTGTCCTGTTGTCATCTGTTGTCGAAGTCCGAGTGCAGTCAGGACATGTGGATCGCCAACCGACATGGCCAGTGTCAGATCTTTGCCCTGCGCAATGTCGGCGTCGAGCAATCTGTGCTCCCTTCCACAGGGAATTTGTCTGGGTACCAGTGCAAACTTACACAATCCAGCCAGTTTGACTTGCAACACTTGCATGCAGAGATTGCCGCCAGGGCCACGTTAGCAAAGCCCGTCAAGCATGGCCCAGGCAAGAAAGTGCAGGAGTGATGCGGGACGCGTGTGCATCCGGCAGGAGTCTCAGCCCACAATGTCCGAAATGCTGGCCGACAAGCCACAAAAAGAAGTGCCGACATGGATGCGGCGAAGCATGGCTTTGGCATGGCGCGCTTTGCGGGACACCACACGCGGAACCCTGAGACACCCTTGTGAGCCACCGCCGCAAACGAGACATAGGAGACAAAGCCGATGGTGGCACTGACAATATTGTCAACCGAGACTGCAATATGGCTTGGTGCAACGTTGAGGCATTAGGTAATCCTCCGACCTTGGTTCTACGCCGGGCCAAGCACTACATGCAACTTTCCACGATTGTGCTGAGCCTGCTGAGCTCTACAAACGACAGGGACTCATATGGTAATCCCCAAAAGGCCTGAAATGGTCGCTGCACCATGATAGTCCCTCGCTCCCTTCTACGGGAGCGAGTCCACCTTCCTAGTCCCTCGCAAACTGACGGCATGATACATACATATGTATGTAAATCTTTGTGTGTGCGTGTGACTCATGTCTTCATTTACATGTGGTTTAAATAACGCCTCACTGGAAGACTTAAACGCTGCAGTCTTCACCAGTTGTTGCGTGGGGACTTCTGACCAATTGCCTTGCAGTCGTGCGTTGCTCCTGTGGTACTCGTGTTGATGCTACGTGCAATTCGGTGTTCACGGCAATTTCCACCTGGCTTCAGGTTCTGGCTTGTGCTTGTTTAGCCGAATCTTGAAGTGTCCGCCAATCTGCTCCCAGTTCATGCCCAGTCGAGGGAATCTGGCACCAGGAAAAGGCTTGCCGCAACAGTCAGGCAGTGTGAAGTATTTGCTTGGAACCCTCTCCATCTGCCGGGAAGCAGTGAGAGTTCGGCTTCAACTCGCTGAGGTGCAGCTCATTCCCTTCTAAGTCGACCTCGTGAACCTTTCGAGAAGATGCTTCGAGATGCTTTGAGACCGAAAGACTCATCTTTGCACCCCAGGAATGGATATCGCCCCCGCCTGGAAGTCGTAAAGCGACCGTTTCAACACTGCGGGGAAGCCCGGGAGTCCTTTGCTCCGAAATTCTGTGAGTCCTGCAAGGCACCCACGAGCCAATCTCGATGCAGCAATGGCCGAATAAAGTTCGAGATCGAACCGTTGCAATGCCTGCATCCGCGAAGCTCAGCGGGCAGGCGGGCGAGTATGCCCGGCGCCGCAGCGGGCTTCGGAAATGGCAAGAAGCGTGCCGCGCACGCATAAGCAACTTGCTTCGGTTACTGTGTTTGCGGGCAGTTTGGGCAAGTTGTGATCCTCCGAAGTGGTGATCATGTCAGAGACACATGGTGCAAGTTGACTTCAAGCTTGCATGGTCCAAACGGCTGGAGCAGCTTACACGCGTACGAATATCTAGCACTCTCATCTGCGCAGTTCTACAGTCTACAGTCCCAGTCCGCAGCTCTCAACCGACGCTGTGGTGTACGCTGCCTGCTCTTCGAACTTGCTGTCATCAGACTCTGTGTCTGCCTGGTGGCTTCATGCATCTTCATGCACACTTTCGCTTTGGGTCAGGTCATCTCAAACACAACCGGGCCGGGGAGGCCAGAGTCAGCAGATCAGACAGTGAACCCTGCGCTGCACGAGCGGTGTGACGTCGCAGCTCCTGGCGGTCCTGTGGACACTACGGCCACCGTTCTCCCTCGCAGATATGACGAGAGGACACTGCAGTTGTCGGAACGACGCCTGTCTGATGGCACCGCCTGCAAAAGCTGCCTCGCTTGGAGCATGAGATCAACATAGGCAATTCTGGGGCAAGCACAGAAGAGAACAGTGTGCAAACACATGTAGAAGGATTCTGGGGTCGCTACGAGCTGGTGGAAAATCACAGTCCCGAGTACGGCTATCAAGAGCACCTTGCCGCAAAGTCCCTTTTGCTCGTCATCGAGCTCTTTTAAAATTCTCTCAGTTCGGCAGATGGCCGAGAAGACCGTTGACAGCTAGTAGGTTGCGAGCACTCGGGGGAGCTAATGGGCGAATACAAATCCCCCTTCCCTTTTCAAATCGTTCACGCGTGCTCCAAACAAAATGGATAAGCGCACTCTGATGACACGGCTCTTGTGCATTGAACATGTCAGTTGTTGGCCTGAACTGCTGGCCGACATGGTGTGGAATGCAATCCGAAGGGCCCTGTGGTAAAGCCTTTCCAATTGCCGCTTCACTGTCGAGCTCTAGCCACAGTAGACTATAGATGTCACAGGAAAGTTGATGCCTCTTGCGCTTCGGCCTGCCTGGCCAGTGGAAGGATCACCCATAAAGTCCGGTGCTCTGGTCGTTGCTATGTTAGGGCCCCAAAAAGGCACACAAGCCAAATCTAGGATATCCCTATAAAGTGCATATGCCTATGTCCTTTTTGAGTCCCTGATGTGTATCCCTTCATTTCGCTTTGTCTTGGCGAAGTTCGCTCCTGATCAGAGGTCTCATTTTTGACGTCGACGATCAAACAACGGATCCACCAAACAAACCCCCGCCCCATTGTACGCACACCTTCACGAGTTTCATCAACCTCGATTTCAAACGATACGTGGCCTAATGTTGCTTGTCCTCGCGTCTGCTGGAATGAAATTTCAAAGCTTTCTCAGCCTCCGGGGGGCAGCAGAGCTCAACCTTGACCTTACTCGGGTCATCGCCGGTTCAAGAACTTGGCCAAGGCGCCGCCGTGATGGAGCGACGCCTCACGAGCAGCAGCGCAAGCGCAAGTTCTTGGGTGGGGCACTAAAGTGCCGACGACGTTTGAGCACTGAGATAGACATCAATCGCAAACATCCCATGTAAAGAGTGAAGACTTCGACAAGGTACTGCCGATTCATGCATCATCATTTAACCCGTTATATGCAGGCTGAAGTCGATTTCATTCAAGAGCCAGAACATGTGGAAACTTGGCAGACTGCACTTGACCCCGTATGCTTTCCCGGGCTGTCCCCCAATGCCTTCGGTCACGTCCCATCTGGAGGGGTGCCATCATCAGCGAGTGACCCAGAGCCCAGAAAGGAAGGACAAGTCCGACCGTCGATTCTCGAGAAATGCGCTTAATTAGGACTGTGACCTCTGACTTCTGTCGTCGCCCATGCTACATTTTAGACCTAGGTTTTAGCATGGCTAGCGGTCCCTGTTTTCGAGGCTTGAGCCATGGGCAACCGCGCGGTCTCCTGCCAGCTAACTAACTCGCTTCTGCTCCCTCTGCAGGGTTCTTCCTGCCGCGCCCTTCCGCTCAATCTCTCGGGGATAAGTTTTTCCTCCTGTCTGTGGATGACGGGAGAAACGAGAGACGCGTTTGTCTCGTTGTGTTCGCTCAGCCATATGTACAAGCCGCCGCCTGCTCAGACCTGTCGCCCAATCCTGAAGCAGCCCCAGTCAGACAGAGCATCACAGATTTCATGATTCCCCCAGCCACCACGCATTGCATTTTGTGGAACTCGCCCAACCACTGCTCTGTACTTTTTACAGTTAAGGATAGACTCGTATCGGCAAGCCGCCTGGAGTTTGACACCCGTTAAGGAGAACACAGCCTCAGCCTGGAAGAGCTGAAAGCAAGAGCCAACTCTTTTTGCTGTTCCAAGGTGGCGGCTTGATTCCAAGATCGGACAGCGACCTTTTCATGCCTCACTTGCAGTGTCTTGTCAGTCCGGGGTGGGAGAAACGGTGAGCACACGGCCATCGGCAAAAGCAGCCCAATCCTCAAACGAGACCTCGGCGTGAGACATGGCGGAGCGGTTCGGCCGTGACTTCTTTTCCCATCTGGACAGCAGACAGCTGGAAACTATGCAACAGCCCACGCGCGGGAGCAAGCTAGTACACGCCCAAGATATGCGCTGGGTCCACGACGCTGCCTGGACGGAAAGCTTGGGTACGCTTCTTGTTGGCCTTGCAGGAAGGCAAAGCACAACACTTTCCTAATTTATGTGCAGCAGGGGCTTGCAACGACAAGGTAGACATGCCGAGCACATACGCATCACGTACACAAATCCTCCCCCTGTGCACGCTACATACCAACCTGTCGATCGATCGATCTATCCATCCATCCATCCATCTATCTATTTTCTTTCTGCAGGGCTCGGGGCCAGTCTAGCTCGCCGCTAGCAACCCTGGGCCAGCCCGTGCACCCGCCGTGCAATGGAGTGGCTTGCATATTGGGTATGACGGTAGGTGTATTCAACCATGATTATACATGCAGGCAGGATGCAATAGGATGTAACATGACATATCATATCTGAACATAGGATAGCGTAACACGGCAAAGGATCTCGTACATACATTCTGCTGAAACCTCTGTACATGCATACTGTATAAATGTATGTATGCATGCATATATATATGTATATATATATATGTATATATATATATATATGTATATATATATGTATATATATATATATACGTATATATGTGCATGTGTGTGTAGAAATAGGCATTGGTAGACAGACAGGCGATACATCGATAGAGACGGAGATGGATGGATGGATAGATGTATGGATGAATCGATCGATCGAGAGGTGGATGGAGAGGCAGAGATAGACAGAGACAGAAAGCAAGAGCTTAGTAATGGATACATAGACAATACGGAGAGACAAACACAGAGATGAATCGTTAGACAGATGTTTACAATCGTGGACCGATGAAGACAGACAGACAGGCGCACACGCACACAGAGACACACAACAGTGCAATGCCGTGCGCCTGCGATTCAAGGTCCAGCACCATCTCGGGGATTTTGCAAGAGATTCCAGCCTGACCTTTCAGCGCATTGCGGGTATCATTCTCTCGGAAATTCATGGAAGCTGGGACACTACAGCGACTTCTTGCAGGTAGGTTCATCGGTCGGAGATAGACGAGCGATCAAACGGGAATCGGCTACGATTTACATTCTCACACATAGACCCGCCGACTACAACTCAGAAACCCACATGCTATATAATGCTATACATCAGGAAAGCGAGTCCCGCGGACGCTACCGACCGATGACATGACAGTGTGTCTCGCATGTCCGATTGAGAAGCATGCCAGCGGGCGCAGGCTTGTACACTGCAACAGCCATGCAGTCCTGCACCCAGCGGAGCAACGGGAGAGCGGATGACCTGATGCGTTTCCCCACCTCTACTCCCTCCATGGCGAACCTGGCGTTGGCGGTGCGAGAGCAGGAGTGGAGGCGTGTTTGCGCCGTTGGCATTCGAGGCTGCAGCTCTTCCAAGCTCACAAGCTCGGTGCTGAAGATCGGACCTCCCACTGCATGACTTCCCTGTCACGCGCTAGCCGCTAGCATGTCCGTGTCTCGTCTAAGCTTGCTGCTTCCTCGTCCATGAAAGAGATGCCACAGGAACAGTGGCGCCTGTCACAGCGAGAAGCCACGGCAGGCAGTTTTGGAATGTCTTGCATCCGATTGATGGCTTGAGTCTGCCACTCCAGGCTTCAAGACATTGTCTGCCTCGCTGCTTACACAGTCATGCGGCGTAGTGCCTGCTGTTTGTCAGCACCCCCCCAATCAAAATGTCTTGGCAAGCAGCCAGGATGACGGCACCCGGGAGAAGCAAGTCCTTTCATGCGTGTTGTACGTCTGAAAGTCTCAAGATACATTCATTCTTCTCGCAACAATATGGACAGCCATCCTTCTCTAGTAGGATCTCGAGATCTTGCCAGAAGCGCGAGCCTCTATCAAAATTTCTGCCGACCGTGCCAAAGCATGCAAGCAACACAGCCGACACTAGGGCATTCACCACACTGATCCATGAAGACCAATGCAAATTGCGGTGTCTCACCTAAGTATTGCTGTTGGCTTGATGTCACATGCACATCACAGGCGAGAATGACTGCTTCTGCTGACGGTACGGTCGAAAGCAGCTACAAACTTGTCCCGATGTGTTCTTGAATGCTCGCCCTGAGGTACTCACCAGGGTAGCGGTCTTCGAGGCTGCGGAGAACGTCGGAGCTTTGCCCAGTCCAAACATCAACCTGCAAGCAGGCATCACGTGCAAGGCCGTCAGAACTGTGAGCGTGATGGCAATGGTTGGTGCTGAAGTCTTCCACGATGGGTGCCATGTCCATTCACGTGTGTCCTAACTTAGGACACACTCCCAAGCACTTTCATATCAAGCAACGGTGCGACCGGTTCAGCGACCTCGCCACCATCTTTCAAAACCCCACGAGCACGAGTCAAGTGCTCACCAAGGCGAAAAACGTAGTGTGCTTTGTGCTAGCAGGCTTTCGGAGTCATGGACATGTCAACGCTCCCGGGCAAACGACGTCCTGCTTATATCTATGTTTTGCGAGGCATAGAAATAAAGAGGGATCTGCATCCTGCGGAAAAGGTTTCTCGTTGTCCGAAGAATGACTTTGGCGAAGCGTCCTTCGACGATGCGATGTGCTGTAAGAAACTCTCAGGTTGAAACCCTCCGCCAAACAGCCCATGAACCGATTTCTTTGCACTTCCAGTAGCTGCATTGCCGAGAAGTGAAAAAGCTTGGACACAGCCGTCCAAGAGTTGCCAATTTTTGCTCGGTCGCCAGACGTCGCAAGAGACGAAATTCTGGCCTTGTGACTCACACCTGCGTGGAAAGCCAATCCTCGGCAACCCCGGACACTCAGACCAAGCGAGCGCTAAGGATACTCGGACCGAGCTGCGTTGGGCGACCACGGCATGCTCTGGCTCGACTTCGATGGTAATGACCTGAACCGATGGAATCGGCCTGAGACCCCCAAAGTCAGGCTTCGCCACGGCTCCGGCTCTCCCTTCCGGGTCCCTGCCTGGCAGAGTGGCCGGCGGTGCATTCACGCAAACGCACAGACATCCCCTCGAATTCCCCCAAGTGCATCGTTTCTTGCTGCTGCACGCTGCTGCACGCTGCTGGTGACTCGCGCTCGGAGGTTTAAACCCATCTGGTGAAACCAGGAGAACTCTAGAAGATGGATGGCAACACAGAGCTCTCCTACAGCGACCCATCTTCACGGTGGACCGGTCCGGTCCAGCGACAGCTCCACAAGGCACAGGTTGAATTGAAAAGAAGGCCTCTCTATGCCTCTCAGCCTCCACAGACCTCTAAAACCACGACGAAAGTCTGGCTCTCTTCGTCGGTCACTGTCTTGAAGTCCCACTCGTCGTCACCCTCCAACTGGCAGATCGGCTTCTGCGAGAAGTCATGCTTCATGGTCTTTGACACTTTGTGTGACTCGGAGCCCTTGCCAATGGCAACTCGGAAGGTCATTACGCAACTGCGACTGATTTCGCTCAGGCAGCGCATGTCAACGGTGCCCTTGCCTTTTGCCTTTCGGAAGGAGGCCCCTCCGCGGCTCTCTGAGGTCAAGGAAGGGCGCAGGCAAAGCTTGAACTGAATTTCTTGACCGTCCATCGACACCTCGAAGGGTGGAGAGACTTTCTCTCGGTCAGAGGACTTCAGAACCCGGGCGTCCACTGTCCAGTGGATTCGGAAGATACGACTGTTCACACTGAAAGCCCTTTGCAGGACTGGTGCACGTGGAGCTGCTGGAGCAGGCGGATCTACCGGTCTGGGGCTGGTGGAAGCCTCTCGGGGTTCTTCTGGCAAGCTTGTCATTGCGGGTGTCGGAATTCCCTGGGGCCATCGGTCAAATCGCTGAGGAGGCACCATCCCTTGTGGGATAGGCACCGGAGTAGGAGACCCCCCCATGGGCATCGTTGCAGGTGCGGGCACCACGACAATGGTAGCAGTGCCAGGCACTGGTTGTGCTGGGATTGGCATTGGGCTGGGAATTGGCGCTGAGCCGCCGTATCCACCCACTGGTTTGTCAGGCATCGGAGAAGAGACTGTCCATGCCCAATCTGTCTCTGGCTCATACTCGTCGTAGGTGGCTACGCGGTAGAGCTCGGGCATTGGTGGTGGTGCATCCGTGCCCTCCTCAACCTGGCCACCGGTATCCTCCCCGTCCGGTCCCTCCTCGTCTGTGTCATCCTCGATGCCTTTCGAGGACTCCACATATCTTGCTGGTGTGGTGGCCACACGGGCGAGTGTTGGCATTCTGGGGGCATCATCGAGATCAATGAATGTGTTCTTCACTACCACCACGTGTGGAGCCTTCTGGTCTTCCGAGTCCATAGCTTCAGGCAGGGCAGGGACGCTGCTATCGACGCACCGTGGTTTACGGTCTACACATCATGCACCGCATCTCTTGTGCCAAGCAATATACACAAGGGCCATAAGGAAACAACAATGCAAGAAGCCCACAGACATAACATGCTTGCAAGAGCTTCTTTTTCCACCCCGTCAGGAACAAGACGCCCAGCCCAGGGCCAATAGGTACACCCTCTGAGTTGAATGGCCTGGCGGACAGCTTGTCTTGCCGCCGCGCTCAACAGCTGGACATGACAACTGAGGTGCTCTCCTCTGTGGGACTGTGAACGTCCGTGTCCCAGCGGAAGACAGGGTCAGAAGTGAGGAACAGCTCTGCTTCGAAACTAGAACCTGGAGCGAATCTAAGATACAGGTTCACAAAATGCTCCAGAGTGCGAGCTGGAATCTGATGACCATTGGACAAGGTACAAGAGTTCGGCTTGACCTCAACAACAAGGAAATCCTCCAAGTTGATGCCGATACTTTGGAGCGCGGGCCTTGGTTGTGCTAAACCCCGATGCAGGCCCAGCGACTCGAGCAGGAATCAATGCAGAACAGACTCTTCAGGCGCTTCTCTTGCACTGGCTCCGAGTACACCTGCGCCAAGCTTATAGACTTATCTTGATTTTGCGTAGCCGGTGCCTCCAGTACACAAAGCAAGCTGGCTGAGCTTGGGAAAGGCGGAGCGGTTTTTTTTTTTCCTAGGTCTGGCCCTCCCCGGCTTGCTTTCCTAAGTCTGGCCCCTGGTTGTGGTTGCCAACAGCGGCAACTGCGGTCTTTGCTGCATCAAGCTATTGGGGAACTAGAATTCGACGGCTCTGGTTTTGCTTCTGTTTTGCATGAAGCTATTGGGGAACTACAACTTGCGGAGTCTGATTTTGCTTGTGTTTAGCATGAAGCTGTTGGGGAACCACAAGTTGCAGGGTTCGGTTTTCTTTGTGTTTTGCATGAAGCTATTGGGGGGTTCGCATTTGCAGGGATCGGTGTTGCTTGTGTCTTGCATCAAGCTATTGGGGAACTACAATTCGCAGGGTCTTCTTCTGCTTGTGTTCTGCTTGAAGCTATTAGGGAACTAGAATTTGCGGTGTGTTCATCTGCTTGTCTTTTGCATGAAGCCACTAGGGAACTACAATTTGCGAAAGCGGGGGGGTTGGGGGGGGCGCAGCCCCCCCCCAATTTGCAAACCTTTCAACATGAACTTTGCTTTGCTCGTTTGTATTCCTTAAAGCGATTTCATGTGGCTCTCCCTCTCTCCGTTATCCAAAGAGACTCACGTTTTCGTTTTCACGTCTGGCTTTCGCCCTTTTGCTTGTCGGTGAAGACGTTTCAGTCGTGAGAAGAAAACGGGGGGGTTGGGGGGGCGGCGCAGACCCCCCCCCCATTTGCAAACATTCCAACATGAACTTTGTTTTGCTCGGTTTACCCCCCCTAAAGCGATTCCATGTGGCTCGACAACTTATTAAGACAGCGGGCAGTTTGCAGTTAAAAAAGCGGGGGGGCTGGGGGGGGGGGGGCAGCCCCCCCAATTTGCAAACCTTCCAACATGAGTTTTGCTTTGCTTTGCTCGCTTTTGCCTCCTAAAGCGATGTCATGTGTCTCGACACGTTAAGAAAGCGAGCAGTTCATGTGGCTTCTCCCTCCCTTCGTTTTCCAGAGAAACTCACGTTGTCGTTTTACCTTTGCTTTTTTGTTTCTTGCTCTTGGCTTCCCAAAGCGAATACATTTCTTGGTCTTGCCCTCCCAAAGCGAGCACGTCTGGCTTTCGCCCTTTTGCCTGTCGGTGAAGACGTTTCATTCGTGAGAAGAAAACGAGGGGGTTGGGGGGCGGCGCAGACCCCCCCCATTTGCAAACCTTCCAACATGAACTTTGTTTTGCTCGGTTTACTTCCCTTCCTTCCTTCCTTCCTTCCTTCCTTCCTGCTTTTCTCTTTCCTGCCTTCTCTCCTTCCTTCCTTCTTTCCTCCTTCCCTCCTTTGCTCCTTTGCTCCTCCCTCCTTCCTTTCGTGCTTCCCTCCTTCCTTCCTTCCTTCCTTTCTTCCTTCTTCCCTCCTTCCTTTCTTCCTTCCTTCCTTCCTTCCTGTCGTGGTTTCGGCTAGGTTAATTTTTTTTGATCCAAATTTATTTTTTTGATCCAAATTTATGTTTTTGTTGATGCCTGTCCCGTCGTTGGGTTGTTGTTGTTGTTGTTCTTGTTGTTGTTGATGTTGTTGCTGTTGTTGTTGTTGATGTTGTTGTTGTTGATGTTGTTGCTGTTGTTGTTGTTGTTGTTGTTGATGTTGTTGTTGTTGTTGGTGGTGTTGTTGTCGTTGTCGTTGTCGTTGTCGCTGTCGCTGTCGCTGTCGCTGTCGCTGTCGCTGTCGCTGTCGCTGTCGCTGTCGCTGTCGCTGTCGTTGTGGTTGTTGTTGTTGTTGCTGTTGTTGCTGTTGTTGCTGCTGTTGTTGTTGTTGCTGTTGCTGTTGCTGTTGCTGTTGCTGTTGCTGTTGCTGTTGCTGTTGCTGTTGCTGTTGTTGTTGTTGTTGTTGTTGCTGCTGTTGTTGTTGTTGTTGTCGTTGTTGTTGTTGTCGTTGTTGTTGTTGTTGTGTGTTGCTTGTTGCTAGTTGTGTTAGTTGCTACTTGTGTTAGTTGTTTAGTTGTTAGTTGTTAGTTGCTAGTTGCTAGGTGTTAGTTGTTCGTTGCTAGTTGTTAGTTGTTGGTGTTAGCTGTTAGTTGTCAGTTGTTTGTTGTTATTTGTGCGTTGTGAGTTGTTAGTTGTTTCTTGTTAATTGTTAGTTGATTCCTGCTTATTGTTCCTTGTTTCTTGTTTGTTGATTCTTGTTTGTTGTTTGTTCTTTCTTGTTTCTTGTTAGGTGTTTGTTGTTAGTTGTTTGTTGTTAGTTGTGTTAGTTATTTAGTTGTTTGTTGTTAGTTGTTTGTTGTTTGTTACAGACAGACAAACGGACAGACAGACATGGATACTGCGGCCTGAAGGGTGCACGTCGCCCCGAAGGGCTGTCAGAAGCAGGAGAACCGCAGCGCAGTTGCGACTGGCTCTTTTTGTGTCTTGCAAGCCGAGTGCCTGCAGCACATTGCGTCCCCCTACAATGTGAGACCGCGCAAGAAGCTGTGGGGTGTACGACATTTGCTATAGGGTTTAGGGTTTCTAGGCGGAAAGGGACTATGCTCAGGTAGAAGCAGGCTGTGAAAGCTACGGTAGATGTTAAGGATTATTGGAGTCGACGACGCCGCGGCAGCGGCGGGCTATGACCATGCTTTAGCCTCCCTGATTAAAGTTGGAACCTGTGGTTTGAGCCAATATGCTCCTGTGGACGTGTTCCAACTTTCGGCTTCCATCCTACGTATTTGGTTCTTTGGACCCTTCCGTCTACATGGGCTGGCTGCTTCACAAACCTGCAGGAAAGTTTCGAACGTGGTACTGTTGGCTACTAGAGATCGTAAATGGAAGTCATCAAGGCTACGCGTTCTTGCAAGTTGGAGGGTTTAGGGGTACAGGACCAGGAGAGACCAGGGGACCAGGGAACCAGGGACCAGGGGACCAGAGGACCAAAGGACCAGGGGACCAGGGACCATGGGACCAGACCTAGCAAGGCCCCCCAGACCAGGCCAGACCTAGGAAAAAAAAACAGTGGACCCCTTGGGAAAAGCACACAAAAAGAACGCAAAGCAAAGAGCAAAGCTCCTCTGACGCCGGGCCGTGGGCCGCCGAGTCACCCACGCAACATGTCCTCGTAGGGAGCCCGGGCCCGAGAAGGGCAGCTCTTCGCCCAACGGACAGGCGAGCACGGAGTAGCCGTGCTCTCTCCTGATGAGGGAAATCGGGATACCTTATTTTGAGGTTCTTATAATCATGGATCCTACTATTTAGGGTACTTTATTAGGGTTCCCTAGCTTCGGAAACTCCCAATAAGGAAAGCATTTTTTGCACACTTGGATGAGGGAGAAGAGGACCTCAGGTCCGTCCAAGGAGCATGTAGTCTGCATCTTGCAGCTTTCGAATCTCTGGGGTACGGAGGTGCATCACGCGTCGCAAGAGAGTCTCATGGACTCTCATCGAGGCAAGCTGCTCCTACAAAGCAAACCGAGACAGTGTATCAGTGTATCACCACAAGGAAAAAACACGAGCAAACATCAAGTCCCACGGCAAAGGCTCCTGCTCCAAATCATCCAGAATATCCGGGCTTGCTCGCCTCAGGAAAACTCTGACGTCCGGACCAAAGTTGGAGAGGCACATGATGTCGAGCAATTTAGGCCGATAAATTAAGACCGATGCCACGGCGGCCCACGCCCTAAATCTCGGAGGAGATCAGCATGGTGTGACCAGTTGGTGGGCGCGCCTTTACAACGGTCGGCTTTCAAGTCGAGACGAGAAGTGCTTCAAGGATGCACTGCTTGTCTAACTTCTGAGTGCGAGTCCAGGCATGAAGAGGGACCGCCGCAGTTTGGGTCACATTCGGACTCTACATGCTGGCCGAGCCCACTGCAGGTCCACACCGTGAAGCTTGAGCACCGTGTCAACAGTAGAAGCGCCCTCCGCATCAGCCTAGCAACGCAGCAATGCAACCAGGCCGGCAAGGCGACTCGCGGCAAAGCGAATGGCGGTAAAGCCTTTAGCGGCCCGCGGTTGAGGAAAAGTCGTAGCCGAGTACAGCAGCAAGCGACTCTCCCTAAAAGTGAGGCATCAGTGGTTTTCCGACTCCTGCGCTTAGAGCGATGGCATAAAATAACGTCGAAGAAGCCACGTTGTCGGCTCTTCTGCCAGAACGGGTTCTAGCCTGCGACAGGAGCATCTCGCTCCAAGTTGTGGCAAGCGTTTTCAGCTGGTGATCCTGTTGATCTTGACATCTATGACGAGAGTGTCGTCCCGTGCATTGTTGAGAACACCATTCCTCGTGTGTCACACCAGAAACATTATTGGGCTTTCAGTTCATGGCTTGATTGCACCCTTGCCTGACCTAAGCATACTAAGCCCACTGCAGCAGGCGGTTCCTCAGCTCCCAAGGCTCACCAGAGCCTGACGCAGACCTCAGGCACCGAAGCGTCGTCAGTTGTGGCGGAATCGGGGCAGGCCTGTTCTGCTTCCCAGTTGCTCACGCGGGTCTGGAATAGCGCCAGGCTTCCCGAGCTGCTCGTCACTGCACGGACGTGGGTACCTCTGCTTTGCTCCACGCCTCTGCATGCTGCCGGTCAAGGCAATGAGGATCCCACCCTAGCGCAGGTGGAATCACCAGCCGCCGTTTTTCACCTCATGCAGGAATGCACATAAGTTTCAAGACGAGCTCTAGCCATGACAGGCAGCCTAGGTGCCCTTCAACATGCCAACCACTCCACGGTCCAACCCAGGAATTGCGTCACCGCGTCCAACTCTAAAGGTCACCGGCTTCTCTGAGAAGCCGCTTTTGTCCTGATGCAGCGTCAAAACCCCTGGAAATGACAGACACCAAGACGGTCAAGCTAGACCTAACCATCTGTTCACGCCTAACGGGTGGTCCTGAGTTCGGAGGAAAATATTGCCGTTCCAACCGGTCAAGTAGCCAATCCTGAGCTAAGGAAGGGCTCGGGCGGCGTGAAGCCTAAAGCTAAACCAGCTAAGAAGCATATCCACCGTCACAAGGTCACCATTTGCTACCGTCTTTGCAGCATCCGGATCTCCATCTTCGAACTTGGGCTTGTAGATGGTGGCCGCTTTGAGCCCCTAAACAGGGACGATGAAGTATATAGTGTATAGTATATAGTATATATATATATACACTATATAGTAGATATTATATCGTACACTGTATGTAAAATACAGTATACAGTATATAATAGATTGTATATCGCACATCGTATATAATATAAAGTCTATAGTATAGAGTATATAGTGTATCGTATATGGTACATAGTACACAGTACAGTGCATAGTACATGTTACGTAGTACACAATATGTAGTATATAGTATATAGCACATGGTATATGTTGTGTGTGTGTATGTATGTATACATACATACATATGTATGTATGTATACATACAGACTACATGACAGTACATGTACATACCTGTATGCATATCTAACTATCGGATCCTTGCCTCACCCAGATCGGCGTAGGCTGCAACCTGCTTGTTGTTCTGGCCCGCCACGCCGGCATTCTCCGTGTACGAGTTAATCACCTGAACATCTCACGGCAAAGAACCGGTGCACCAAAGAAAGCAATGTCTCGAAACATTCTTGACATGGGTGATAAGCACACAGCTTCTACGCTTCAGCTTCGGTGCCGAGTTCATCTTGCTGTAGCGCTTCCTTTCAGGAAGCATTCGCATTGGGCCGGGCACATGTGTCAGAAGCCTCTATGCCACACATCAATCTTCGCCGGGCGTCACGTCATCAGCTTGTGCAACTTCTGGCAAGGTCACCCCCACACTCGGGCCCAACAGGCAAAGCCAGATGCGTCGGCCCCAGCTCGTGAGCTTCGTCGGCTGCGCTTGAGGCGGCCCTGCCATGCCCACCTCAATCGAGCGTCGCTGCGTCACAACACAGGGGGGAGCTTGTCCTGGGTACTCTTTGTTGGGGTCACTTGCTTCATTCTGCCCAGTCACCGCGGCTAAAGGCGCAGAAAGGGCCAGCAGCAGAAGTCCCAGGCGCCGAGGTCGGCCATCCTGGTCATGCGAGGCTGGGGTTGCGTGACAGACACGATTGACGGCCCAATGCCTTGAGAGTCAAACGGCTCTTCCTCATCGCTGGATGGATTGCAGCTCGCATTTGTGTTGAGCGACACAGGCTCTTTCCGCTTATGGGCTTGGACTTCGAGTGCGGGCCACAGGCTTCTCTCGTTTATGCCAATCCAACAGTGCAACCGTTCTTGTGCTGCTGCTGATGCTTCACGGCAGTGTCTGGGGATCGCAGCAACTATGACATGAGCTTGTTCCACAACACCTGCTGCTGGTAGGGCAACGCAAGGATTGAGCCATGTCAGGGGGCGTATATAACAAAACGAAGAGATGATTTCAAGCCTTCCTTCATTGGACGAACCAGCTGAGATGGCCGCCCACATAGGTCCCGATCTCCAAACAAGCCTCGAGTTTCGGGGCCCTCCCCCGGGTCCCGGGTCGAGTCCCAGGGTTTGTTCCTACGAGGCTCGGGCTCCCGTCTTCGGAGCCAACTGGAGGGCCTCTTCCACCTCCGGTCTCCGGTCCGGCTGAGGCTTCACGAAGATGATGGCATGATGGTGCTAAAGCGGCTAAAGCGGCTCTGGGCTCGGCACCACTCTGGCTTTGGCTCCGCCAGCGATTTTGAACCATTGCCTCGACGGCTTCAGCACCTCCAAATGCAGGGCCGGCGCTCACTCAACCAGAATCGAGGGACTCGCGGCAACTACTTTTGCACCGCTGAACTTTCAAAAGCCATCAGCCACTAGTCCTACCGCTCGCCGCGAAGTGGGAAGACAGGAACTCTGCCGCAGGCGGTGTTCGCCACCAGACTTCGTCTGTTCTGCATGGCAAAGTGGCTGTGGTCGCTTCGGCCTTTTGAAGCATCTGATCGGGTCTTCAGGCTTGTGGAGGATGGGCGTTAAGTTCGACATATGTGCCCGAATGCAAGAACGCGCGGCAGCTCTACGTGAAGCTGTCGGATTCGCAAGCAGTGATGGCAACGGCAGGAAACATTCACATCTGAATCTTATCACGTACCCCATCAACTGCGCCGTTCCCGGTCTCAAAGGCCATCCACTGCAGTCAACACACTGCAGAACAGAACGCATTAAGCAATCCACAGCACTAGGCTTTAAATCGACAGGAGGTTGGCCGCAAGCAGCCAACATAACGCTCCTTCACTGTAATGCTACAAGTTACAAGGTGTCCTAGGTATTTCATGGAACTTGCACCAGTGCGCGGTTCACCAGTCACCTCAGCAACAACTGCAGGCCGGCTTACAGCCCCTGGCAAGATCTGCTATGTTCTGCCCACCCCATATCGTTACGGGCTTGATGTCTCAGTTCGCACACAGCTACTGCAGCTTGGGACATCCCGTCAAATCGCTGCGGAGGTACCGCAAGAAGCCAGGTAGACGAACAGAGGTGGCACTGCAACCAGCGCAAGCACCAGGCAACATCCTCGGCTGATCGCTGCTGATGTAGCCGTGACCGAGGAGTCATGGATTCGACTTAGACTGTCTGCCCGACAAGGCACGGCCCAGTTCGCCAGCCCTTGTGAGGCCGACGGAGGTCCAGCACTTCCACGTGACGGCTCGCACGAAGCTCCTCGGAATCTGCAAAAAGCCATTTCGCCACATGTTTCCGCCCTTTTTCTGGCATTTCATCGTCCATCCTTGTAGCCACCGCACACGAAGAGACGGCCCTCGGCATCCAGCGCCACAGCACTCCCCCAGCGCGGGTGTGGAAGTGCTGCACCACCAAGCGCATGCCAGCACTGTTCTTGCGGGTCGAACCTTGCAGAAGGTTGCAGAGCGAGTTCCGTTCTCGACTGCAACCGCAATGCAGGATGGGTGGCTTTTGGGTTCAAGCAGAAAAGCTGACACCTCCCATGACAGCAATGGCCAAATACTGTCCGGGACATTATGACATTTTAATTCTAACGCCACCAGCGGAAAAGCCTTTGACAACAGTAGCCTGGCGGCAAACACTCCAACCAAATTGTTCACAGGACGTCAGGTGTTGAAATTGGATCTCAAGGTGTTCGGAAAGATGCCAGTTCCGACAGACCGCTGACATGCCCAGTCTGAAGCGCATTACTGCAAATGGTTCTTGATCACTTTCGGAATCAGAACAAATACCAACAAACTTCAGCTCTACACTACTACAGGACAGGGCAGCCGAACGTGAACACCGACACAGCACCGAGTCAGGATTCTCAGAGCTGTGGCATGACATCATTTCCTGCATCTGAGCAGCTGCTGAAGAGCAGTTTGTCGCCAGGCCTCCTCACTGCCGATGCCTGGCCACAACAATAATCCAATCGGCCTTCACTTATATCATGCCATATCCACTAACTGCTACATTGCTGTGCATATCCTTGCTATGAATCCTCTCGGAAAGTTTTGTCCCAGCCTGAATAGCCACCAAAGACATAGATCTTTCCACCAAACGAGACCGCCGAGCAGTTGCCAAAGGCATGTGGCATGGAGCTCAGCCTTCGGCCCACGAGGAGATGGGCGGACATAGTCAGGACAAGAGCGGCAAAGAGCCCCTAAACCCTAAACCCCTAAACTCCGTAAACCCTAAACCCCTAAACTCCGTAAACCCTAAACCCCTAAACTCCAAGACAAGGCACCTTGTCCAACGGCCTGGTGGCTCGAAGACCTCCACATCCTTCAAAGGGGCGCCACTCAGACCCAAGCCTCCAATGGCCTCAGCTCTTTCGGAAGAGAGAGCTGGGAGCTCCCAAAACGAAAGAGCAAGCCATGAAGAAGAAGACGAAGACAGATGAGGGAGTTTCCGACAATTAAGGACCTGGATATAAGGGCCCCCTTATCCAAGAGAGAGAGAGAGAGAGAGAGAGAGAGAGAGACCCCTGCGCCCCCTCTCCGAGCCAGGGACGAACAGGCGTTGCCTCAGGCTGACCAGGGCCAGGCCCTCCCTGGCAGTCGGCAGCGGCGCCATCCTCAGAATCGCACGCAGAGTGCACTGGACAATACTGCAGCAATACTATACTACTATACTAGTAACTAGTACTATAAGAGTACTATATAAGACTGTAGCAATAATACTGAAAGACCAAACAGACCTACGACAACCCCGCATCTTCCGCCAGGCCACGTTTCCCAACCATGCTTTGAGCTGTAGCGCTCGAGCACGTTTAGCCGATCGGTGCAGTTTGATCCACCAGCTGCCTCGAAACAACGTGGGGCAGCTACACAGACTCTCTGGCAGGTGTCTCTCTCTTTCGCGCAGCTGCATGCCACAGTCTATAGTCCCCTTGCTGCTGGTCCTCATTTCCGAATCTCTCTGTTTCTTGCTCTATAGAGGGCCCTCCCTCTTTCTCCTTCTTTCATCTCCAGACTCCAAGCAATAGATGTCTCAGGCTAACACGTATATGTAGCCATCCGCAAAGGTGGCTGCCAAACCACGCCGGGCCGTCGGCATTGGTTGCAGGCTTTCCCAGGCCTCCCGCACGAATGAGAACCACTCAGAGGATCGTAGCCAACACATGCGACGAGCACACGTGGGACGCGACGAGCACACGTGGGATGCTGAATTCGGCTTGGATGTTTAAGCTCGTCAAGGCCGTGATTCTGAAAACGTTTCAAGGCGGGGCATCGGATTGCAGCTGCCACTGTGTGCTTTGAGAAATGCTAGGTTTTCGTTGGGTTTTACTTTCTACGTCTCTTCGGTCTGCTGGGTCTGGGGAGGCTGGGGGGCCAGCAGGGGTGGTGCAACCTCGACCCCAGCCCGCCCTTGGTCATTCTTTGTTCTAGGTTTCCAATTGTTCTTCCTAGTTTCTACTATGTTTCCCGGACCTTCTCCTGTTGCCCCATGCTGTCTCTCATGTTGCTGTCGACTCTCCTGTGTTTCTCGCTTGTTCTCTGCTGCTAGTTTTCGCTCTGCTCAGGGAGACACCACAACCAGCGCCGATCTGAAAATCGATATGCGAGCACTAACAGCATCGTCATCGTCCGACCACTTTTCCCTCATCGCCAACAGCAAAACAAGCATCATCAAATACATCGTTAGCATCGTGCTCGTCGTCGTTGTCGTCAGCATCGCCATTCGGGCATCCTCAGCATCGGTATCGCCATGAGCAGCAGCCGCAGCAACAGCGTTATGAGCAGCACTATCATCTCACGACTGCTGCAACCACGCACAAGCGTCACCATCCCATCATCAGCCCCAGAATCTCTGCCACCGCCACCGCCATGCTCACAATCACTACCGGCGGCGGCCGCCAACATCATAACGTAAAGTAAATCTCATGACGTGGCATCTAATGTGGTGATGGCTCCGCTTGTGGCTTGGCAGCAGCGGCCGCCGCAGTAGGGTAGGCAGATCCGAACATGATCGAGTGCATACTGCCGGTCGTACCTGCGCGTCCGCATCGAAGCAATCGAAGGAGGCGAGCGGGTAAAAGCCAAGGTGTCGAAGCTTGAAGGGAGCTTTGCTTGGACGCTGACCGCCCAAGACATACCTCGCAAGAAGCCAGTGCTGTGGCTACTCACACCTTCCACGTGCTTGCGGTACTGGTGCGGCATGCACCCCCCTTTGGTGTTAGGTGCAGTGTGGAAAGCGAAGCGAATCACCAAAATGCGCCCAAGTTACACTTTGACTCCACAGGCCAGCACAGACATGAAAGATCTACAAGAGGGCATCGGCAGTTCCTGCAGCCACGCCACCGACCTCGGGCTCTTCCGAAATGGCCCTAAACTCTCGAGAGAAATGACTGCTGCCAAACAGCCCCTTGGAGGCTGCCACTTCGCAGCCTGAGCGGACAGGATGCTCTTGTTCCATGACTCGAGGCTGTGAACTCGGCCAAGGACCCGGGCAGAGGCGCGAAAGGCCGAAGGGCTCTCCACGATTTCTCCACCAAGCAGACAGAGCCGATGCCTTGAAACGAAGGAAGCTGGAAGCTGATGCTTTGAAGCCTTCTCTTCTAAGCCAAAGGACGGGTAGAGCCTGGATAGCAATGGCCGCAAAGAGAGGTACCAGCTCTGTCGGCATGCTTGCGCTGCTCCGCAGCAGCCTGCAAAGCCCGCAGCGAAGACAACCTGCTTCGAGACATTGCATGGTGTCGCATCCTTTGCATGGATCTGGGTGACGGATCAAAAAAAAAGTTAAATTTGGATCAAAAAAATTAAAGCACAAAGATCAAAAAAAAACACAAGGACTCAAAATATGAAAAACAGTACCAGCAGCCCCCCCCAGTTGCAAACCTTCCAACATGAACTTTGTTTTGCTCGCTTATACCCGCCTAAATCGATTTCATGTGGCTCGACAACTTAAGAAAGCGGGCAGTTCATGTGGCTTCTCCCACTCTTCGTTTTCCAGAGAGACTCACGTTGTCGTTTTACCTTTGTTTTCTTGTTTCTTGCTCTTGGCTTCCCAAAGCGAATACATCTGGCTTTCGCCCTTTTGCCTGTCGGTGAAGACGTTTCTTTCATGAGAAATCTTCTATTCTGCGAATTGTAAATCCCCTGAAGTGTTTTCGTGTGGCTTTGTCCTTGTTGTGCGTTTAGAAAAAACGTCTTTAATTCATTTCATCGACAGCTTAAGAAAGCGGGCAGGTTGCAGTTAAAAAACGGGGGGGGTTGAAGGGGGGGGCCAGCCCCCACCCCAGTTGCAAACCTTCCAACATGAACTTTGTTTTGCTCGCTTATACCCCCTTAAAGCGATTTCATGTGGCTCGATTTTACCCCCGCAAAGCGATTCATGTGGCTGGACAACTTAAGAAAGCGGGCGGTTTGCAGTTAAAGAAGCGGGGGGGTTGGGGGGGCGCAGCCCCCCCCATTTGCAAACCTTTCAACATGAGCTTTGCTTTGCTCGCTTTTAACCCCCCAAAGCAAGTTCATGTGGCTTCTCCCTTTTTCCGTCATGCAAAGAGATGCACGTTTTCGTTTTACGTTGTTTCCTTGGTCTTGCCCTCCCAAAGCGAGCACGTCTGGCTTTCGCCCTTTTGCCTGTCGGTGAAGACGTTTCATTTGTGAGAAATTTTATCTGCTTTGCTTTTTTTCCGCCTGAAGGGTTTTCGTTGGGGGGGGGAAGCCCCCCATTTGCAAACTTTCCAAAATGAGCTTTGCTTTGCTCGCCTTTAAACCCCTAAAGCGATTTCATGGGGCTTCTCCCTCTCTTCGTTAGCCGAAGAGACGTATGTTTTCGTTTTACTTTGTTTTCTTGTTCTTGTCTTCCCAAAGCGAGTACGTCTGGCTTTCGTCCTTTTGCCTGTCGGTGAAGACGTTTCATTCATGAGAAACTTCATATTCCTCACTTTTTAAACCCCCCGTAAAGCGCGCAGTTTGCAGTTAAAAAAAAGGGGGGGGTTGGGGGGGCGCAGCCCCCCCCATTTGCAAACCTTCAACATGAACTTTGTATTGCTCGCTTTTACCCCCCTAAAGCGATTTCATGTGGCTCCTCCCTTTCTTCGTTATCCAAAGAGACGCACGTTTTCGTTTTACTTTGTTTTCTTGTGTTCTTGTTCTTGCCTTCCCAAAGCGAGTACGTCTGGCTTTCGCCCTTTTGCCTGTCGGTGAAGACGTTTCATTCACGAGAAACTTTATCTTCGTCGCTATTTAAACCCCCTGAAGCGTTTTTGTGTGGCTTTGTCCTTCTTGTGCGTTGGAAGAAAACCGTCTTTAATTCATTTCATCGACAGCTTAAGAAAGCGGGCAGTTTGCAGTTAAAAAACACGGGGGTTGGGGGGGGGGCCTTTCCTTCCATTTCCTTTCATTCCCTCTTGCTTTTCTTTCTTTCTTTCTTTCTTTCTTCGCTGCTTCCTTGCTTTTTGCTTTCCTTCCGTCCTTCCTTCCTTCCTGCTTTTCTCTTTCCTGCCTTCTCTCCTTCCTTCCTTCTTTCCTCCTTCCCTCCTTTGCTCCTTCCCTCCTCTCTTTCGTGCTTCCCTCCTTCCTTCCTTCCTTCCTCCTTCCTTCCTTCCTCTCTTCCTTCCTTCCTTCCGTCCTGTCCTGGTTTCGGCTAGGTTAATTTTTTTTTGATCCAAATTTAATTTTTTCTTGATGCCTATCCCTTGCATGGCTAGCTCCGGCAAGGCCTCTGCTGCCGGCGGCTCGCAGCTCAAGACATCCTGAAAGGAATCTTCGCGTGCTGCCAACACGAACTGATATCTACGGAATCACTAAATCTCAATAATGACTGTATAATGTTAAATGCAGATAAGCGACAAGAAAACTTGCCTGAGAGCAGGCTGCCAGCGTCTGCGGATATGCTTAATCTGGTTAAACTCAATCAAGCTACAGTAAGACCTGAAGAAGTCCAAACGACCGCCGGAAACCAGGACTTTTGGGGCTTCTTTTCCTTTGTGGCTTGCTGCAGGCACAGGTGGGAAGGCCCCATAAGTCCACAGGGTGCACTGGAACACGACTTCGGAAAGCCGGCGTGCACGCGCGGGAATGCGGTCGGAGCAAGATTTTGGGAGCCGGCAACGCGAGCTTCACCCAAGTCATGCACCACGACCCCCGGACCCCGTGGTGCGAGAACAAAACGGGAGGCCGAAACCAGGGGGACCGTGGCGACAGAGCAAATCACATCCAAAAACTCACGGCGCTTGCATGGGCTTTCGAAAATGCGGTGCCAGCACGCTTTTCATCCCAAATGACGTACGTACCTCACGTGTCGGCAGCATGCGTTGCGGGTACCAAGTGAGGGAGCGCGAAAGTATTGGCAAACGTGGGTGCAGCACGGCGCTCCGCAGCATGAGCCACGAAACTGCCGGGCGCTCCGAAAAGCCCATACAGTAGTAGTGCTGTCGGGAAACACGTCATGGACCGAGGCAGGGTAGTGACGTTGACGCTACAACCAAACTACAAGCTCGACTGTCTCTTACGCTAAACCCCCTGCATGGCCAAGCAGCTGTGACTTTGCCTGATGCTGCATGATGGACATGTTGCATTGCCAGCCATCCAACGCAATTGGCTAGTGAGCTTAGTCCTATACCTTGAGTCAAGCTTCGAGATGCGAAGAGTTACTTCCGGTGCAGCGATTCACTTGGTGGAAGCAGTGCCTGCAACCTACTCTCTGCATGGAAGTAGGAATAGTAGGAGCAGTTGCTGCAAACTGGTTGAAATCTGTTCAGCTTCGCGTATCATGCGTAAGATGTTCCAGAAGAGCCGCCACTGCTCCCTAACTCTTGTCTGCTGCGGCCGGGCTGTCTATCGCTTCTGTGTGGCGTGTCTTGCCAAAGCTGGGTCAAAGGAGCCATCGCGCGAGCAAACAGAACGATACACCAAAACAAAAGCAGGTCGGATATCGGCTGCACCTGGCATGCTTCGGGGTGGCTGCTGCTTTTTGCTTGCACAATTCACAGCTCGGCATGCTCGGCACTCCTTGTCAAAAACTGGCTCCACTCCTTAGAGCTTGGAAGGTTGGTCAGGTCAGGACCAGCAAGCTCACACCTCTTTGAACCTCTATCTGTGGTTCGCCCACATCCAAGACTCAATTGGAAAGTCGGGCGATTCCACGACGCTATGAGGAGCAGGACCTGTAAAGGAACTCTCTGAGGCAGGGAGTTTCGATTCTCACAACTTGCCGACCCGCGTTTTTGGGCGATAGGGAATGCTTCAGGAATTCGAGGCTTTCGACTCTTACCACGCGCAGGGCTGCACATCGAAGCTGCAGGATGGTGCAACTGTGCTACGGGTACCGAGGCTACGGCCATGCTGCTTCCAGAAAGCCTCTCCGCACCGCAGCACTTCAGGGAGGATCCACAAAAAGGCTGTTTTATAGGTGCTTCAGAGCGCCTCTGGGAGCTTTGGCCAGAACCTTAGTCACGCAGAGACATGAAACCGGGAAAAGTCAAGTGAGTCTCTCAGTCTCAGTACATTCGTTTGGGCACGAGACTTGGCAGTCAGAGATGGGGTCGCCCACCTTGCCAGACGAGGGCCGTTCTTAAAGCCAGCTCCAACGAAGCTAATGCCCAAGGCTCTCGCTGGGAAAACGGAGGAAGAGAGACCTCCTGCGGCATGGCCGAGCAGTAGGGTCGTGAGCCGGGCTTGGCCAGATACCTTGCAGGTTTTGCACATCACATGCTTGGAACTCGAGGTACTTTGACATCGCCTCACCACAAATTCAAAACTATCGGGAGTCGAGGCACTGCTGGTGCCAGTCCTTCAAGCACGCTACATCACTACGTGTGGGTGAAGGGGACTGTACCGCGGAGGAGGGCCCCGTCCTCGGCATACCAGAAAACTCCATCTGGAAAGTCTGAAGCAGCTCGAATCTCTGTGGAAATGTCCTCGGCTAACGAGGAGCTCATGGATTGATGGAGCGAACTCTCAGCTCTGAAGACTTAGCCAGAGCACGCCACGTTTCCCAGCCGCCTGCAGCGCGTCCTCAAACTTGATGGCGCCGTAAACTGCTGAAAAGCCCCCAAATGCCCGCAGTGTACATGGATTCTCCTGGTACGCTTTCTTGCTTGCCACGAAAAGCTCCTTTTGATCCTCATCGAAATAATAGAGGCCTTGCTTCAGGGAGCATGTGCATGTGTGCGTGCGTCGACACACACTGTCCCGTTGAACACCGGGACTGAGGCCACTCCGATACTGGGTGCCTTGATCAGCGCCTGACACAAAAGTTGCGGAAATGTCGGGTGCCACAAAAGCCGACCACACAAGCCTTGTCTCATGTACTGGGTGGGATCGTGAGCCTGCCGGCTCCCAAGCAGAGCTTCTACCGAATGCAGAAAGCCTCCGCGCACCTCCCAAAACCATCTCAAGATGTCGACCAGATCAATCTGGGCCGGGTCGAAGATGACTTGAACCGCCTCGGAAAAAATGAGCGAAGAGGTCCACACTTTCCTTTCATTCCACGAAGCTGCCGCAGTGTCGCCTCGGCGTGGCCCGTCCTGCCCGTCACAACCTTCAGGGACATCCACGGGAAAGGATGGGCAAGGATTGCTTTCCAAAACCTCAAACTTGCACCACCTCTTCGTAGGTAGGGTTGGGAGTAAAGCCTTCAAAGCCAGCGTGGGAAGCCAACGACATCAAGCGTCTTCAGCGAGCACTTAGCCTGCAGCATAGCCCACAGCCGTCGAGAAGATTCCGGCAGGCAAGCGCCATATTCCCTTCTCGCTCCCCCAAAAGCAGCCTCCAAAGATGAGAATGAATGGCCACAGCGAAAGCAGCATTTCGGAGCAGCATGTCAAGCTTGCCGAGGGGCCGTTGGCAAATACAAACTTTGACATGCCTGAACCCGAGGATTCGGCACAAGTCACTGCTGCGTGCCTGCAGTTCTCCGGCCTTCTGGCCAAGGCCCTTTCATAGGTGTCCCAAGCACGTAATGTTCTGCACTCACCTGTCCGAGTTCCAAAGAGGCAAGCTCGACACTGCGTGGCGCGTTGCTGGAAGGCCTCCAAGGGCTCCTGCCGACCGGGCAGCGCATCCTCCTTACCTGCGATGCTTGGGCAGCTTATGACACGCCTTGTCACGAAGGCCAGGTCATGCCGAGAGGACGAATCATCATGGTGCTTGCACCGCTTGCGACATGCCGAAGCCAGCATGACACCTTCGCAGGAAACGGCATCTGCTGCACAGTGCGAAGCCTGACTCTCTCAATAACAGCCATGGCAGCCAAGGAGCTACCACCACCGCAAGACGATTCCGAATGGACATCGGCATGATCAAGATTTAACTTTACGCAACCAGCATTGCCATGAAAGCGGTAAGATTCTGTCTAGCTCTTACTGGCTTCCTGAGCTTCAGGGCTGCTTACTGCGTGGCGGAGACTGGTGGGCCAGATTTCAGCAGGCACGTGCAACCACTAGGCGACAGCACGAGCCAAAAAGCTGCGCCGGCAGGACGTGCGATTTTTGCTTCCCTCCTGACTCCTGCAGCAGCTTCCGGCGACCTGTAAAGCAAAGGATTCCAAGGCGGCGAGCACCTGGCAGCAAGAGATTGGACGAAGGGCCCCGGGCTCCACGAAGGGCCACGAACTTGTAACCTCGCCTTGTCAGCCTGACCTGCGTCTGTCTTCTGAAGGACGTACTGCATCGCCAAAGCCGCTTTTGACCTGTCAACCGGCAAGTTCTCACGTCGAGTCGTGCCTGCTTGCGAACTTCTTGGGCACCAACCCGCTTGCTAAAGGAGCAATGCCGGCATGCAGGTCTCCGCACCGCAGCGGGAGCTCACCCCCACAAGCCGCGAGAACTCCGCGCACCTCGCAAGCATCGCACAACGAAAGAACAAAAACAAGACTGACACAGCAGAGAGCGCAACAGCAAAGCATGCAAATCACAAACCAGCAATGTGAGAAAGAGGGTGCCATTTATTCCAAAGCAGTACATAGCTGCTTGTGTTGGAGGCTGCTGGGACGAGAATGCTGACGCTCGCGGCTTTCGCGACAAGACTCGGCCGACAGCGCAAACGTCAAACTCCACTCAACCAGGTTCACCGCACATTCCGTCTCAGCCATATTCTGCTTTCAGGACAAGCACGCATTTACAAGGAGACCCCTGTAAGGGAGAAGAAGTGCATGGAAGTCATCGGAAGTGCCCCAGGCAAGTGGAATCGATGAAGGCCATAGATCGGGCAGGCAAAGAGCAGCCGACGAAGCGACAGGCAAGTCGGGAAAGATGTAAGGCTGCAGCCAAGGCATCTTCTGAACCGCACCGGTCCCTCGGATACGAGGCCGGGCCGGTTAGCAGCACCCCAGCCCCAGCCCAGCTCTGAGGCTCCCACAGAACCTGCAGCGCCGCGGGAGCACAGCCGGAGATGGCCAGCAGCCTGGCAGACAGACCTGCGACACCAGCGACCAGCGACACGAGCACCTGTGGAAAAAGACTGCGGCGGTCGCCTTGCACGGCGTCGTGGAGACCCGGCGATTCTGCCAGCGCCCTTGTTCTTCGAAGCAAGGACGCGCAGGTACCTTACGGTGCCACACAACGGACGAAGAAACATCTCAGCAGATCGCGACCACGAATCAGGCGTGTGCTCATATCCGCCCGTCGCTCAGCTTCGCATAAGATGGGCGAGAGGCCTGGCACTGCTCGAAAACATGCAGGCACTGTAGGCACCTAGCTGCTGTCGCCCCGCGATGAAGCTTTTCTGCCTTCAACAGATGGGGTAAACGATCAGTGAGACAAGCCGAAGAATGATTTGCCTGCACGGCAAGGCCGCGAAAAGCCCAAACTTGCGCACTAATTCATGCAGCAAGGTTGTCGAGCAATGTGTTTATCGCCCGATCAGTTATCCAGCTGGCATCCTCCAGCGCTACCTGCGCCACCGCCGCATCCACTCCTGTGAAGCTTACCACGACCTGGCAAAAAGAGCACTCAGAGCACTCCACTGCAGTACAACGCCAGAAACTCGGGCAATTTAAGCACCACCTCGATTTTGCGCAGGCGTTCTTCCTCCTCCGAAAGCCTGGAGTCAGATGTTGCGGCAGACACGAGCGAGGCCTGAAGTCTAGACGTAGCTAGTCTACAGTTGCCAGTCTCGACTCGTCCAGACCTTCAGACTCCAACGCTGAAGCACTTTGCAAAGTTTCTGGCTAAAGCTAGCGACAAGAAGACCTCGAACTGAAATCCCTCCAGTTGCACTCATTGAGGCATGCATGCATTCTATCATTCCATTAGTGCTGCTTCAAGATCCCCAAACCAAACTCGCCCAGAAGCGTGCGCTCCAAGCGCGGAATGGGTGCCGCAGCGGGCCCGGCCGGCGGAAGCGGCTCCGGACGCCTGCAACGACACTAGGAGAGCCGCTTGGCCCACCGCACAGAATGTGAGGCTTCTTTGCTTCCAAGCTTTGGACTGAGCGGGGATAGTGCGGGCACTGTATATAGCAACTGCGGTTAGGACAACGAATACCCATTGGATGCACCTGGATGCATCAGAAGGCGGCAAAACCTCACCTTTTGAGAACTTCTCCTCGGCCTGCGGCAGTCGTTGCAACTGCCAGGATATCACCAGCTTGACATGATTTCCGCAGTTGCCTCTTGCTGGTTGAAACCCGCTCGCATAAGGCGCTGCACTTCGAAGGCCTTCTGCGTCCTGTGGGCAGTCAAGACCCCGGAACAGTTTACCAATGCCAGGAGAGCCCGCGCCTCGCCATCAGCGCTGCTTCATCTAGCTCTGGCATGGGCAGTGGGGTCAAGGCCTCCAAGCTCTTCACTCCCCGTCACCATTGGCAGCCCACGTCGCTGAGGCCTCCGGTTCGTCACTCGTCCCCGCAGGCGTCCGTTCCTTGGCGATGCAGCTGCAGGCCATTGCTGTATACACGGTTTGGCCGCCTGAAAAAAGGGGGCCACTCTCATGATTTCATCGTGGGTCTGACAAGACGGCCAACAGCTCCTCATCTTCGGGTGCCTCCTCCTCCTGCACTCTTCAGCACTCGTTGGACTCCGACGAACAGCACAGAAAATGTCTGGAGCAACTCCTGGACGCTGAGCATACTTCTGTGGAGCTCCTTGGTGATCACGTCCGCATCCTTCAGAACCTGCAAGAAGCCACAAGCACCGACGCATCCCCAAGCTCCAAATGCACCTTCTTGGGAAAGGCCATACGAAGGTAGATTCCCCAAGGCAATGCGGACTTCGCCCAAGCAGAGTCCAGGGCAGCTAGCAGGAGATGAGAAATCGGAGCCCCTTCCGCGTAGGCACCTGACATGAGCGAGCACCACGTCTACACCGGCAAGATTCAAAGCGGCACAGCCTTTGACATTGGAGCCATCAGGTAGGCGAAGAGCAATTTCGATGCTTCCACTGGCACCTGCCGCAGAAGATCCGTGAGGTGCATGAAAACGGAATGACGCCACGTCCAATGTCAATGTTGTTTGCTTCCTTCTACCTCCTACGCCTATTTCGGCAAGGCTGCGGTCAGCGCCGCTCAGTGTGGCACGGGCGGTGTGCCATCCAGTTCTTTGTTGCAGGGACCACGGGCTCTAATCGGTAAACAACTTTTCTCCAGACCGCCTCTTGGACTCTTGGGGCCATGTGCAATCCACCAGCGCTTCACCACTGCGTCCAGCTACAAAGAGGCACCGAGACTGCTTGGACCCGGCTTGCCACGAGCTGCTCGTTTGGGTTGACTTACAATGTGGCGACATCTGCATTGCGGGACTGAGCAGCCCCTGGGAGCCAGCATCAGAAGGGAATCCTTTTCGCATGAATTGTGCCCCCCCCCCCCCAATCGTAAGAGAGCCTGACGTTCATGTAGAGCGGCACCCGAGCAGGAAGGTGACGGATGCCAGGAACATTTTGCTGACAGCGACCAGAAGCCCGGATCGGATGCTGCGATTGCCAACGTGCATACGCGGCGCAAGTCGAATGTTGGTCCATATCCCAGGCCCATGCACCTACCCCAGTATTGCACGGTGTACTGCTTCCCCTCGACTTGAATCAAAGACAAGCACGGCTGCCTGCTTCTCCCCCTGCTGCTTTTGCTGCGGTCGCCCGAAGCATGGCGAAGCGATGCTGTCGTGCAGCTTGCCGCTTGTCTTCCAGCTCCTGAATTCGTTGGCATGCCGGCAATGCATTTCAAACTTCCTGAAATCTTGCCAGCACGGTCACACGTCGCTGTCCTGCTTCTTGGTGGCAGACCTCTCGCGCTTGAGTTTCAAGCTTTCGACCACACGCCGCTGGTACTCCTCGTCACAGTAAAATCGGGGCGGCTTGCCCTCGTCAGCACAAGAGGCAACCCTTCTGGACCCGACAAACTGGCAGCGCTGTCCTCCTTTGCAGCGTCGTCCTCGAGATCGGGGGCTGGGACAAAGTCCACCTGAAGCATTGTGGAAACGGAAATGGACCGAAAAAACAGTCTCGGGAAAGCACAGAAAAACCAGCAGCGGCATCGCCACCGCCATCTCAGACATCGAAATATGTAAATCACTGAGTTTGCACCTTGAACTCGAAGTGGTGTTGGACGTCTGTGTCCTTGGAGGATTCGATCAGATCAGTCCAGCACCAAGGTTTTGCCGCTCTGTCGCTTCGAACAGCATGTGTACAGAAACAAATGTCACGTCGCGTCAGTTTGAAAGTTGCACATCCTTTCGCCAGGAGGCAATGATTCTGACTGCACCACGCGGCTCGACAGTCAAAATTTGCACGTCGAAGAACCTATGCCGATGCAGACGGGTACTGCACTTACAACTTAGCATGTAGCAAGCAGGACCACAATTACTGTGCTTCCCTGTCTGCACAAGACCAACATTCACGGTATCACCGCTGCCAGGAATGTTAGAGCATCTGCCGGACTGCAAGCAACTTGGTGCCGAGATGTGCCAAGCTGCTTGCCATCAACATCGATCGGGACAGCAGTGTCCTGAGAGCAGCAGCGAGCAGTCTTGCCTCAACATACACTCTCTCTCTCTCTCTCTCTCTCCTGGCGGTGGCTTCGGTCCTCTGTAAGAGCACTGAATCTTGAGAGTGACTCCGTAAGCAATGACGGGACCTCTCGGCCGCTGTCCCGCACCGCATAGTAAAAGTCGACGCTGTGCGGTTGGACTTTCACCTGTGACTTTTGCCCGCGGGCCATGAACTGTGTCAGCTCCCGTGTTCAGCACTGCCAAGTTGCAGAAGTGATCAGGTCCAGCTGCACAGCGCGAACGCGGACAGCCTCACGCCTGAGCAGCCGAACGCGCTTGCGTGGGGTGGCTCCAGGCTGAATAGTTGCTTCCAGCTGGCTCATCAATCCCAAGGTCGTCCATTAGCCATTTTGGCAGGAGTGCGTGCATGTCAGGCAAACCGTTGACGAATTCGAAGATCGCACCTCCACTTCGCGCCATTTGCTTTTTGAACTGTTCTTACATCCCGTCATTCTCCGAGGCCGCAGCAGTGCGTCTTTCTGCCAACACGTGTTGTAACTTCGAAGGTCAACGGAAGTCGCAGGTCTTCGTGCGAATAGATCTCGTTGGCATACGAAAATGGAAGGCCGATCTTGTCAGTGGTCTCCAGCCTAGAGTTGAGCTCCCCACAGATGCTGCAACAACAGTGCAGCTCGAAGCAAGCTAAGGCAGGCCGGCAGGCCTGGAGAGATCCCCCAAGAATGGTGCAGCTGCCGTCGCAGAGAGCACAATCATTCCGTCTTTGCAGAATCCATTCACGGTTGGGAAAAGCTCGGACTGCAGTCCTTGGGAGCCCCCAAACACACGGCTGACGCTCATCGTCATTCTCACGACGAAAGACAAAGATGATCACGTGGACGGGACAGTTCATGGCAAACAACATCCATGACAATGCAATCAGAGCTGGCTACGCTGAAGATCCTAAACCAAATTAACGACAGATGCATGTGCGCATGCAGCATCAACTGAGCCAGCCACGCACGAGTTTTATTGCCGCCTCTGGATACTCCTGCATAATGCAAGTCAGTCACTCGCGCATATGCGCCAATTTGCCCCTTTTTACCTCTGCCTCAGGTGTTGAGAATGGCTGCGTGGAAAGATTCTGAACAACTGGGCAGTTGGTAGTATTGAATGAGACACACAAGCTTGGGTGAGAGTGTGAGGATGTGAGGGCGAGACTGTGAGTGACCGCGTGTGTGTGTGTGTGTGTGTGTGTGTGTGTGTGTGTGTGTGTGTGTGTGTGTGTGTGTGTGTGTGTGTGTGTGTGTGTGTGTGTGTGTGTGTGTGTGTGTGTGTGTGTGTGTGTGTGTGTGTGTGTGTGTGTGTGTGTGTGTGTGTGTGTGTGTGTGTGTGTGTGTGTGTGTGGTGTGTGTGTGTGTGTGTGTGTGTGTGTGTGTGTGTGTGTGTGTGTGGTGTGTGTGTGTGTGTGTGTGTGTGTGTGTGTGTGTGTGTGTGTGTGTGTGTGTGTGTGTGTGTGTGTGTGTGTGTGTGTGTGTGTGTGTGTGTCATGTGTGTTTGCCCAGTCATGTGAAAGAAACACCTTCCTTTATCGCACATATGTCGTGCGTGGATGCAGCCAACACCGTAGGCACTGATCGCCCTTCTGTTCGGGTGCAAACAGGTCAAACACTTTTTGCACAGACTTGTACATTCAAACCCTAAACCCTAAATGCGAAGCCTTGCCTGCCTTGTGCGAGTGTGAGCGTCGAAACCTGCCGGCCACCCCACTTACCTGCATCAAGACATTCCCCGCACTTTTCAGGTGTTGAGCGCACGAAACTAATCAGCCTTGCATGGCATGCCTGACTTGACAGAAATGTATACAAAATGGCTCGAAGCCCTAAGAAATACCCTGAGACTTGTAAGTGTGCGGTACATCTTCAAACTAAGACTAAACCAAGGCACCAGCCACACCTGAAGGACCCGAAACCCGAAACCCGTCACGTGACCCTATCTTGTGTCAGTGGGAGCCCGTCTGGGTCCTTCCTGATGGCGACCGTGGTGTAGGCTTGAATGCCGGAGTCCAGCAAAGATTGCCTAACAGAGGGACAAAGCTATCTGGCCATAAGAACCACTAGAAAAGGAAGGCCAAGCACGCTCCCGAGGCTACAAGGCAGCGGCAATAGCGGCAAAGATGAGGCTCGGGGCTTCGGGGTTTTGACATTGACTCACGTTCGGACAAGCCAGGCAATTAATCACTTAATTGACGGTCGGATGAGGTGAAGCACTGCGACCCAGCCGCCTCACATCATCCAACACACTGAGCATGGCCGTCACGGGATTCCAACCCGGAGAAGCCAATGTCAAACCTAGGTGCCGCAATCAAGCCAACTCGCCTAGCCGAAGTGCCTTCGAGTGAGCGACAAACTCACATGAAGACAAGAGTCTGCAAACTCTGCCACCAAATGTCACCGCTCCTCCAGCAAAGCAAGTTCAGTATGGGGGAGGAGGCAGGGCCTCACGGAAGTACGGAGATGAAAATCCCATAGCTCCTGCATGCTCAGAACTGTGGCGCATTCTCGGCCGGCGCAGCCAAACTTCTGGAGGGCTTAGCGGGTATTCTGCAGGAAAGCGGACGCTAAGCGTCAGCTTCTTCATCTCCGCATCAAACATGCTCTCCTTCAGTCAAAGCAGCTCAAGACACCATGCTAGGCCGATCGCCCCGCTGACATGCTTCGGAAATGGACAAGAGGCGGCGAGAGCGTCGAGGCTGGTCTGTAGCGGAGAGCCTTCAGGGAAGGTCATGTCCACGTCCCACTCCTACAGTAGGAGGCAACTGCTGGACCGTCATGCGAAGGTCATGGACGCTGACTTTGCTTCGAGTGTCGAGCATGTTGTCGCCAACCGGCTCGCAGCGAAGAATGCCCTGTGCTTCACCGGCGGTGATGGCGGACTGGACTTTCTTGTACCTCATAGAGGACGATATGGAAAGGTCGTAGCCCGTTTGCTTGCCTCGAGCTTTGCACGACTGAGTGCCACACTCAACCAGTAATCGCTTGAAGTTCAGCTGCGGCATGGCGAAAAGGTGAGCCTGCCTCAAGCCCTAACTCTAGCCGTGGTAGCCTGAGCCATTCCAGAGCTGCCGGTAGCATGCCTAGTGTGCCTAAGCCAGTATCATCTGCTCTGGGTCGCAATGATGTTCGGAGTTCGGAAGCCCGGAAGCTGGGACCATTTTGTTCTCCAGCAGGATTAAGCGAGTACTGTAAGCTTCTTTGTACAATGTACAACATCGAGCCGGCCACTAGCAGCCTGCCGCTGCCGCCATCTGCCCACGCTCTCATTTCTTTCGCTCCTGACTGGAACCAGCAGGCGCGAAGCTGTCCGGCTCGCCTGCCACGCTGCTCGATGTCTGCTTGGCAACACTTGGTTTGCAGTTAACACCCTGAAAACAAGAGAATCTCGAGTGCCCAAAAACACCTGGCAGGACAATCGTCGTTACCCGATTCCCCACAAAATCAGCTTCAGGACTTCGGAGAGGCGATGCCTTCAGCTTTGGTCGAGCGAGTCAAGCACTTTGTTGACGGCCAGCTCTTCGATCCACTGGTTCTCCTCCAGCGCTCTCTTGGCCACCTCCCGGTCGGCCCCGGTAAAGGCCACGACCGCCTGGCACTCCACACTGGCAACGCAAGGCCTCGCTCTTCACCTCTTTCCCATGTTGCCGTGTGTTGCCGTGTGTCGCCACGGTCGCTCACGCCTCAATCCGCTTCTCCTTCTCGTCCTCGGCTTCTGCTTCCTCCGCCCTCGGTCCGCGACTGCAGCTCTAGACTCTCGGAGATTGTGGCGCTTTCAAGCCTTGTTCTTACCCGGTCACTGCTCTAAGCTCCGCTTTGGGGGCGTTGCGGGGAGGTAGGTGCCGGCGCAGCCAAGGCGGCCGGGGGCCGCGGCTCCGGGCGCCTCAGAGAAGTGGGAAGTGCTGTGAGCGCCGCATGCACTCCGCTGCGCTCCGCAGCCGATGCCTCGAGGCTGCGGTGGGCGGCAGGATCTCTCCTGCCTGGAACTTCGTCTCAGCCTGGCGCGCTTGAGGTTCAATTCGTGGCGTTCTTTTTGTTGTTGATTAATTAACCGTCTGAGTACTGTACCAGAGACATTACGTATGTGCCTCTGGTAAACAGAAGACTCTGCAGAAGGGTTGCCATGCCCTAATCACTAGTCCGGTAGCCGGCATCCCTGAAACAAGGCACCCCAACGAGCACATCTGAAGCCACAGAAACCTGCTCTGAGGTAGTGCTCCGCGGTTGCCTCCTCCAGGTTGAAACCTGCTCGCAGAAAGCGCTGCATCTCGAAGGCGCGCTGCGTTCTGAGGCAGGGCAGGGTCGTAAACGCAGGCCTAGTTACGACGTAGTTTCACGAAGGCACGGCGAAGGCCCCTTGGCCAAGTTGGCTAAGGCCAGCCTCGAGAAGAGCTCGCTTTCGTCTCGTTCCGGCAAGGGCGGCGGAGCCAACTCCTTTCCAGCAGGCGGCACCGGCATCTGCCAAGACCCCCCTCATTCCGTTCTCCACCACGCGCACGGCCTCTGGCATGCCGGAGGCGCTGATGGACTTCTTTGGGGAAGGCGCATCCTCAGCCCAGCATACCCCCATCATAGGGTCCTGATAGGGTCATTGTGACAGATTGCTCCGTTAAAGCGTGCTCGCTTAGCTTCAGGCGCGCAGAACGGCAAAGAGCTCCTCATCCTTCTCCGGTGCCTGCTCCTCCTTCGGGATGTGCAAACGCACTTGCTGCGTGGCTGAAGTCTGCAGACTAAGGTCCTGCACACTCAAGGTGCTTCTGTGAAAGCCTTTGTCAATGACATCTTGGCTTGCAAGCACCTCAGCAGATGTCGTCGGATGCAAGAGCACAAGTAAAAGGGCCAGCAGTTGCTCTTGTTCGGCACCTTCTTGGGAAAGGCCATCCGGAGGTAGATGCCCCAAGGCAGCGCCGCTTTCGCCCAGGGGCTCTCCAAGGCAGCCAGCATCAAGCATGCGACGGATGCACCCTCGTGGAACTTGCCTGCACATCTGCTGCTGCCAAAGCGAGGAGGCACCAACTGCATGTGCAGCCGCTTCTGTTCGCCTTTCAGCTGTGACCCATCGGGCATCCTGAGGCCAACTTCCACCGTTCCCTCACCTTGGGAGCGAGGTGAGCATCTCGATTGAAGTGAGCATCGCCCATCCCCCCAAGCCAGGCGCTCTTGTCGACAACATTCTCGGACTCTCTTGCCACCAAGCCCTCGTAGACGGAGGCAGCAGGCCAGAAGTGAAACATTCAGAACTTCTACGAAGCCGCAACATCGGTCCAGCCTCGTATCGTTTCTGTCGAGCTTCACGGCGGCGTTCTTCTATTTCCTGACCGCTCGCACTGCGCAGTAGTGAGTAGTTACGAGCTCTCGAACCATGCAGGGTGTCCTGTCGTCCAGCGGCCGAGCGTTCCCGACGCAGCTTCACTGACTTCAGCGCACGATCTTGAAACTCCTTGGGTCGAGAAATGCAAGCTTCGATGGGTGGTGACTGCTATGCCGCCATTCCCAAGTCGCTCGCCTTCGTGGCTGCTTCATCCTCCAGATCAGGAGCAGGCTCGAACTCCACCTGACTCCATGTAAGGGCACAAGGAGTCTCGGGAAAGATGCCCAGCACCTTGAACTCGAAGTGGTGCTGTACATCCATGTCCTTGTCCGGAACTCCAACATCCGGCACATGTTATGCGACAACAACCTTTCGGCAGCGAAAAAGGCCGCCATAATGACGGACCGAAACGAATCGCAAAAAGGAGCTGGCAGGCCACCGACAGCAAAAACGACAAACACGGCACAAAGAAGCACGCGCCTCACAAGCCATCAAAGGCACAAAACAACGCGTTTCGCTAGCCAACACAAGCCAGGGAAATGAGGTGACCAGCACATGACTCCGGCCTGGGACGCCAGAAAGGAGATGATGCGAAGAATAGCTACTATGAAGGGCTTTCGCTTAGGAACACATAGTGAATGTCTCCCATACATCTATAACGGCGTCGGCAGTTCGAAGCTCCACTGAGCCTCTTGGTAACCTGTTGCCCGTTGGTTTGGTGGCCTCTGATGGGTGTTCGGTGGCTGAGTTGTCATTCCAGATCAGACCGACTAGTCTGACTATACAGATCTGACCAGTCAGCCCCCTGTTTAGCAAAGCTGGCTAGTTTTCACATGCCTAAGTGACGTGGACCTACTGATAATGCTGACAGCACCGAGGCACAATGATGCGAACAGCACCATGGGGCTCCACGGTGTTCACCTGCACCTGGTACAGCCTCGTGCCACAAAAATGCTGCTTCACGCTTGAGCTGGGTTCGCTCGGGGACAGCCTGCAAAACCCCCAAATGGCCCAAATTTATCTGGAGTCGGTATCCTGTTGAATTCGCAGGCCTGCCACTCACCTCAATGGGCACTGCGGTGTCCTGGCAACTGTTGTTGCACAGCAAATCGACAATCTGGCATTAGGTAGAGTCTGTGGAACGTGGAAGTCCTCCGTGAGTGTACTGAAGCGGGAGAGGGATTCCGTGAGCAATTCTCGAACATCGCGGCCGCTGTCCCGAACAGCTTGATAGAAGTCGACGCTATGCGGCTGAACTTTCACCTTGAAGACGAGGGTTGACTCATTCACGAGTTGCTGAGGGCATGGGCACATGCGAGCCAAAGAAGCCGTCTCTCTGTGCGATCGGGAGGCAGCAGTTACCAAATCAAGATCCACGCCGCGGACCCTCAACGGCTCCCTCCTTAGAGCCAGTTAATTGGACGTAAGCAGGATACGAAGAAGGATCATTGATGTTTCGGCAAGTTGCTCATCAATGGCGAGGTCCTCCATAACCCACTTTGGGATTAGCACATGATTGTCCGGCAAGCCGTCTATGAACTCAAAGATGGCACCTTCATGATTGACTGTCACTTAGAGGCCATGCCCACAATCATGCCAACTGCACAGATGATTCAAGCCGACCCGCATAAGGCTTGCAGCTATGGCGCAGTGAGTCTTCCGCCCCAGAAGGGTTTTCAGCTCGAAAACCAAGGGCAAAACCAATTCCGCGCCCAATTCGGCTCGCTTGTAAATGCTGTTCCTTGGCGGCAGATTCTTCCGCGGGACGACAGTCGCACAAGCCACGAATCGGGCCAGAGGGCAAAGCCAACACAGGTGTCACTCTTTCGAGACGAACAAGGCAGACGCAATATTAGAACCACATTTTGAGAAAGCCGGAAAGACCCGACAAACATCACAACTACTGACTGTCCAGCATTCGCCCCGAGTGCTACCTGAGAACCTCTGCTCAAGTTGCTGCGCGAAAGCTCGCTCTATCACAAACAAGCCCCTCGTTTTTTCTCTGAGCTTCGCATATGCGAAGGGTAGGCCGATCTTGTCCGTGGCCTCCAGCCTGCGAGGCGGCTGCCCGACTCCATAAAGAGAGGCCGACGGCCGAGGGCCGGCCCTGCCTGGAGAGATCCCCCAGGAAGGCGGAAGCTTCAACTGGTGAGATCGCCGTCATGGCCATCTGGCAGAATCCGTTCACCGTGGGGAACAGCTCGGTGTTGAGTCCTTTGTGCATTTGGCCACCTGGCCTTCCGCCAGCAAAGCTAAAGACCCACACGGTTCGGAAGGCCTTACCTTGCATCGCGGGTATGCAGCCAAGCGGCGCTGCAGTTGAATGGAAGCTCTCGGGTACTCCTGCGGAACACCGGCGCAACAAACACCAACTACAGGAAAGGCGATCCCAGCCTTCTTGATGCAGACGGTGGTGTTGGCTTCGATGCCAGAATCCACCAGGCTTTGCTGCACCTCCTTCAGCACGGCAAGCATGGAGGTAGCCGGCTGCCAGCCAGCAGATGCCAACAGCATGCCTCGTCGCGCATGCGCTTCAGAAATGAAGTCTTCTACACAAGCACAAAAAGGCACGCCAGTCCAGCAAGAAACTTTGGCTGGTTCGGCTCAGGGACTGCAAACACGGCCACCGAAGGTCACCGGTCCTTCGATGGTGAGACTGCCCGCCACGATACGAAAGACCCGGACCCAAGTTGAATCGTCAGCGTTCAAGCGGTCCGCACATGAGTGTCTGGTCTTCAATGGGGCAGCTGCTCGTCCTGATTGACCGGATCGATATCTCATCCGTGGCCGCCGTAGCCACACTTCCGGTGGGCTCAGAGGAAACTCCACGGGGAAGCGTATGCAAAACGTGATTTTGTTCAGGCTGCTGTCGAACATGCTGGCCTGAGATGATCTTCCGAGCACGTGTATAGAAATGGTAGGAGTCGCTTTGATGTGTGTTGAAGCTGGGTCGCAGCCAGATTTTCCAGGCTCTTCTGCAGAGCTGACTCCGCAGGAAAGGACATGTCCATCTCCCAGTCCTTGGTTTACAGGCACGAATCAAAATCAGAACCCGCTGGGTCTGGCAAGTTTCTTCGGTTCTTCTTAAAGACACGGGCCAGAGAGAAGAAAAGACGAAAGCGGAAGACAAGATGAAGGTGCCATGGACGAGACAGATGAAGAGCTAGCATATGTGAGAACAAAGAACCGGTTGTGGACAAGAGTCCATCAAATTGTCCTCCACGGGCTCGCACCTGTGAAAGCTCGGCTCTTGGCCAGCAGCTATGCAAGCCTCGAGCTGCTTGAACCTGAGAGGGAAAGCTAGCAGCTACAGCGCCCTTCCAGCATCGCCTGTATGACTCAGGACATCTCCTGACATGTCCATGACTATGACTATGAGACTATGGGTGATGATGACAATAACTTCAGCTCCAAGATGCTCGACCATGAGGCGCTTGAAGTTCAACTTCGGCATCTCAGGAGTCCGCGGGGCCTCGCCCTGCAGGCGCACCGACCGCTCGTTTCCGGTCGAAGGGTTGATCTGCACCATTCCTGGAAGGGCCAGTAGAGAGCTCAAGCCTTCTTTCCATCTCGAAGCCCCGCTTTGGCCGAGAGACGCTTCAGGCTTATCTTGTAGTATTGGCCTTGAGCAAAGATCTCACCTTGGATGCAGGTCCACTGACATTTCTCGGAGCTTCTCGGCCAAGGATCCGTGGAATCAGGGCAGCCCAGCGGCATTCTGGCTGACCCTTTTCAGCAGCGGCCCGCAGAGCCGTCTGAGCCTCGTCGTCATACCTGACCCATCCACTGTCAGTCCTCACCTTCCGCAGAACACGGGAACAGGGCAGGGCAACTGCGTGTACTGCAGCGTACCCTTCTCCCTTGCCGTGCCTGGTAGCCGGGTGTTTCAACCTTCACGCTTTCTCGGCGCTCTTCGCGTCGTGTGCCACCGCCCGAACCCGTGGATGGCACAGGTTGTGGTGAATCCTCGCAGACGCGGCAGGCTCTCGCAAACAGGCAACGCAAGCGTGCCTGCTACAGCACGTGTTGCCTATCACTGAAACGTTGTCCTTTGGACCCTCGTTCTGCCTCTGGTTGTCCTTCTTCTTTCCGGTGCCTGAGAAAACGAGATATCGCAACAACGCTCCAAGTAGCACTGGAAGTTGGCATGCGGCGCGGCGACGCGCCTCTTTTCGTTGCATCAAAGGAGGTAAAGGTTTCAACGGCTGACCGCAAGGAGCGGAGTTGGCGAAGCTCTGCAGCCAAGGCCTTGGCTGGCCGCGCGGCCCACTGTGGGGACTGGCCCATTAAACAGACGCGATTTTTGCACACTTCCCACTTCCGCTTTCTCCCGCCTCTCTGCTTGCTTCCAGCTTTCGCAATTTTTGCGCTTCTGCGCGGCTCAGACCATTGGTACCACTCTCCTGCAAACTGACACAAACGAGACTCGTGTCCCTGCAATGATCTTTTCAGCCCGACTTCCGCTACATTCAGGTCACTCTTCAACTCTAGACACGGCACAGGCATCCTAAAATCCAAGCTGACCGGCTCCTTGTCCTTGGATGTCTGAGCCGAGCCCTCTCGGCCACCATCCCGGCCCGCACCAAGAGCTTCAGCGATCCAGCCGCGAAAAGCGGTTGCTTGACGGGTTGAGAAATAATCCCTTAGAGCGGAAGGCCCAGACACAGCGCGAGGACAACCTACAAACGCCTGCCAAGGGGCTGGTTCTGCAACGTGCCCAGCAAGGCAAGGTAGTTGCCTTGGCTTGTCTATCTGCACTTGACCGGTCCTGGCAGAAGTCAACACCCCGTACCGGGATCTGCTTCGAAACAAGTTGCCCTGGTCTGTGGCATAGAACTGTCCGGACTGGTACTCTTTCCGCATCTGCATGACCACTTGGTAAATTCCTCGGGAAGCTTCAGGCACTCTTCAAAGGAACCATCTTCTGCGCCATGCTGAGACACACGAAACCTGAACGGCACACTGGCCGCTGCACATTCAACCGTATGGTACCCAGGGTCGGCCAGCTAGCTGTGAAGTGACCTCATTCTCGTCAGCGCAGTTGAAGATGGCAGTGTTGAGCCTCTCTGGACATCGCTGCCGGTGCCCCTGAACTACGCAGCCCGTCAGGCCCATTGCCTCCAAAGATGATCACCGGCAAACTGCCGCCGGCTTTCCAGCTCTTTCACCACCTCCTGTATCCGACTCGAGGGCTCTGCAAAGGCAAGCATCAAACATCCTCGGAAATGAGAGCAGCTCAGGATGATGCCTCAATCGACATGACTCGGACTACGAATCATGAGAATCCATGTAGGACTCCGCACGCTTGCCTTGAAAACTATTTGGTGACTCCGTGCCATGTTGCATCTCTTGCAGTTTGCCTTGATCACAGGGGTCCTTCACACCTTGTGAATCTTTGCGAGTGTCCGTGAGCTGTACGACCTGCTGGCCTGCTGTAACCATGTGCATCCTTGAGCTAGCGGCAGGCGACAAGGCGTTGTCTAACTCGTGCCGCTGTAAACCCTCTTGTCAAAGCTTTTTGTCACGTGGACCCTTCAAGCAAGTCGAGGCAGATCTTTCTAGTTCCAGGTCACAGCCTGGAACTATCACAAAAGCAACCTTGCAGAGGCTCCAGGGTCGCCCTCGCGCGCACTCGCCAAGCGTCTTTGGGCAAGCCGCCTCACCTGCATAAGCACAGTCTCATGCGTCGCACGTGGCCCGTGTACCCTCCTAACAAGACCCGGAACATCAGCCCTCCTTGTCTGCTTTGTGCACATCGCACTCTGGGCAAAGAAGTGCTCAAAAGTGGTCTTCAAGTCATGGGCCATCGCACAGCCGAAGCCAGGCTAGAATTCCTGCGATATCGTCTAGGACTCCCAGCCACGACCAGCTGTGTGCTGACCCCACTGTGACCAGTGCGGCAGCTCGCCATTTCTGGCAACTGAGCACAAAACCTGAATTCGGCAACTGACATTTCGCAGGCTCGCTTTTGCCGCCCAGAAAAGCCAAAACATCTGTACTGTACAGCGAAATTTCACGAAAGAGGCAAGATGCGCCGAGCGGTTCGAGCCCAATCCGGGCGGAAGCTCAACGGAACCTTTGCACCTATTGCGAAGCATCCGTCCGCTTCGTGAGCGTCACGGGGATGTTGCAACCATCAGAACATCAGGAACGACTCATAGCTCTTCTACCAGCATGTGGTCCAAGAGCATGCCGTCTTGCAAAAATGTGCTTCCACGAAAACCTGCAGATAGCTTCCACAAACTTGGAATAACATGCAGTACACCTCAAAGAGATGCCCTGTCACGATTGGTTTGGCCAAGCTACGGCGGTGCTTCTTCTGTTCAGGAGTGGCAAGGTCAGGCATCTCAGACAGAGCTGCGGCAGGCCGACATTGTGAGTACCAAACGCTTTCCTTAGGCCACGAAGCATACTTCCATCTTCTAGCGCTAGTCTGGGCGGTGCGCGGGCGGCGCGCTCCCTATGGCAGGAGCCTAGCAGCAGAGCTACGGATGCTTGTTGTGGACACATCTTAAGCCTACCAACCTGGGGTATTGCAGACAACAGCTAGAATCCAGAAACCTGGACCGAGCCACGGCCATGCAAACATACCCATCTTCACAACAGGTTGGCCCGTCCCAGTTTTGACCGCCACACGCTCCCCACGCACTGGAGCACGCGTTCGGAGACGAGGTCGAAGTTGTTGTGGTGGGGACCTCAGCCCAGGTGCTGCGTGAAACGCGGTTCCGTTTCTAAAAAGGCGGCTGTATCTCCGGGTGCTAAGGCAGGAACCCCAGGCGGAGTGTAAGTGTAGCAGGTGAAGCCAGTCACAGCAGCACTCGCTTCAATGGCTCGGGTCCAAACTTCGCATCTTCCCCCGTTCGACAGCTCGATGCCTTTGCAGCCCTCGGTGGATGCACACTGCCTTTTGCAAAAGTCGAGAGAAGCCCCAGAGAAGACCGAGTAGTAGTTGGGAGAGTTGTCTCTGGGGCTCGACCCACGGCAGGCCGTGCCCTCTCCACGGCTCTCAAAGGTTCCGAGCGACCCGATCGGTTGCGTAGTAGATGGCTCGCCCAGTCTGAGACACATGAAGCCAGGCAGGGGAATAGAAGCCTGGATTCCTTCAGACCGTGTCCACACCTCACACCGCCCACGGCCACGTGGGTTGTGCTCGATGCCAACACAGCCTGCTGTTGCAACGCATTTTGCCTTGCAGTCCTCCAGCTGAGTCAGCCCGGACACCACCTCATAGTAGGTCGCAGAATTATCCCGGGCACTTCTTCCACGACAAGCCCGCCCATCGCCTCCATCCACAGGAGAAAATAGAGGTGTCGCTGCCGAAGTTGTAGTGGTACTGGTGGGGGTCGCTGATGTGGCCTGCGCAACTTCCTACCCTGAAATTGGCTGCAAACCTGATAGATCATGTCAATTCACGGTTTCTAGATCCTGTCAAAGCTTCTGCAAAAGTTAAGTTGGGAAGCAACTCTGGTGGTTGACATCTCCGTCGTTGTTGCCGAAGAGCCGCCACTTGGCACAACCGCAACATCTGCGCAGTTCCAGAACTCCTCCCCGAACGTTCCACCACTTTGGCAGCAGCTGTTGGCACAGTTTGCCCAGTTTTCCAGAACGTTGGTCTGCCATGCGCTTGCGTCCCATCCAAGCGCAGCAATGCCTCGAAAGTAGTCGAAGTAGTCGCCATCGTAAAGGCAGGTGTTCCCGGAAGACCAGTACCACTGTAGCGTGCACCTGGTTCAGCCAAGAGTGATCACGGCGCGCGATGATCAGTCTTACCGGACCCTAGAAGCTGCTCTGTCCCTACGGTAGCGTCCGCTTGTTTGGTCCGGTGCCTGGAGCACTGCAAGCCTTCGGGAATCTTGAACCTCATGCGGTGCACCTCCGACGAGGACGGATAGCTGGGAGCCATGGAGTCCGTGAAGTCTCGCCCGGCCACTTGCGTCTGCGAACCAGCTGGTGGCAAGTACCATCTTTCCGGATGCTTTGGGTCCAGTGGCTGGCAGTCGCCCCTGGGATCGTTGACCACACAGTCATCCAAGGGCGGTGCCCGCTGCAGCAACCATTGGTCCAAACAAGCCTGGCCTTCGGCAGCTGAAGTGAGGGACGCCGCATCCAGCGGCTTGTCGCAGATGCGGAACTCGTAGTGTCCTTGATGATGGGTACTAACTGCGACTTGGAACTCCACCACTTCTCCTGGCACATATGTTGCCGTGACGACGCCGGCTTTGAGATAGGTCTCATCTTGAAGCCGAACAGGGTTGCTTTGTCCCTGCACCGGGTCTCCACACAGGCCATGAGAGCCTGGAGCCAATCGGGTCGGCCACACGCCCTCTCCGCGGGCCTTGACATTGTCAGGGCCGCCTGACTGTAGGCAATGTGGGCAATCCTCCAGCCCGTCCAAGTTTGCGAGCAAGTTCCGCGAAGGAGGCAGTGCTAAGTATGAGTGGCTCAAAACTCTCACGGGAAGGCCAAGGCACGCCAGGAGCAGCACCGACATGGCGTCAAACGCTTTTCGAACCCTCACTTGCCCTCTTCTGCCAAAATGGACTCTGGAGCCAAACAGCGAAAGTCCCCATGCGCCAGTACCTGTGGTGGAAGGACGCCACGGGCGACAAAAAGACATGGCCTTGACTGAAAAGACCAAGCCGGCGAGGATCGCCACCAAGAAGGCCTGCACAAGCGATGCTGCCACCAGAGCTTGCGGATCTAGCGCATCCCGGTCTCGCAAGCACATCAAACCACCATGCGTCCAGGACACGCATTCATAGGGCAATGGCGGTCCCAGGTCCGGAAAATGACCCGTTGCCATGAGGAGAGCCTGTCAACACGTGAACTTGAGACTCTCACCATGCTCATCGCTGCTCATGCGGCCAGGTGGCTACCAGCATCTCGAGGAGGATGGATCCACCAAACAAGCCGCCAACGAAATAGCAACTTGGATCGAAGCCCAAGCGCAAGTCGGCCAAGAAGCAGAAACAAGAGAATTGAAGACCCGCGTCCGCCAGCTCCGACTATGGTCTGTGTGTTTGCGTGTGGCTGCAGGCAAAGCGCCCGGCTTCCTTGTCTGGAAAGCGATGGCAGGCTGTGAATTCAGTTTTGAAAAAACTTTAAAGAAACGTTCGAGATCGACTTTGGCAGAAGTGCCACCGAGACGCATCAAAGGCAAGGACCGACGCTTCCAAACCCCTGGACCACATGCAGCAAACCGGAGCCATGATACCGCAGCAGCCGACACCCAGCCTTGTCGCGACACCATCTTCATGAAACTGTTGCATCGAGTCTCCGTGCTTGTGACTGCTTGAATCCATTTTTCCAGCAAGTGTCAGCATCAGCAGCGTAAACTGCACAGGCTGCTCTCGCAAGACATCCTTAGCTCCTGCCCTAGGCCGGAGACACCATGCAGCGGAAGAGGGAGCAACGTGTTGAATTTGTGCTGCCTTGCGTCCCCCTTCATATTAGAGGCCATGGCATGGCAGCTAGCGTCGGAAGGAGCAAGGGCTAGCCGGCTAGCTACACCAGCATTAACTCAATGTAGGCGAGACAACGCCCTCTGTTTGCATCCTTTGCTACTCGCTCGGCCTGACTTGGTGGACTGTTGACAGACAGGGCGTGGCACAGCTCTTCAAGCACAGGTTTGCTAGCACCCCAGCGCTCAGATACTGTGAGAACGGCTTCAAATCAGCCGGGCTGACCCAAGGCACGCAGCCTGGAGGTCCTGACTTGGCAACATGGCACGTATCCCACTAGAAAGCTGTGCCTCTGTGATCCGCACCGATCCATGTCACGCAGCACCTCGACTCGACACATGAAACCACAAGGAGTTAGGCAAGAAGGGTTGAGGCCGATTCGGGCTAAAGAGGCACAAGAAGCAGTCGCCTTCAAGGATGTCTCCCAGCACCACGGGGCTAAAGACCAGAGTAGCATCTCTGTTTCCTCCCGCCTGCCGGAGTGGTGCTTTGGTCATGTACTGCATTCAGGGACATGCCTTTTGCATCCTGAAGCCTATAATTAATTCAGATAACTTCTAGGACGCTGAATCCCAAGCCAGAGCCTTCAGGAAATCACACAGAACTCACCGAAAACTCCGTGAGACGATGGGCGAAGAAACGCTTCACCGCAGAAAATCCCACGAACATGCTTGGAGCTTTGATATCAGAAGGCTTCCACAACAAAGATGATGCTTGTGAAGGCATCACAAACGAAATCAATCGCGCTGCCCCCGCAAAGACAGGCTGCTTATCGGCGGGATGTTCACCCGCACAAGCCTGAAGGAAGCAAGCTTGATGAGAGATGCCGCCCTGGCCTCACAACACAACGGCAAAAAAGCACAGGTTTCAAAACATCCGCCTGAACCCCTCTTAGGCATTGGCAGCTGTCATCAGCAAACTACCACCATGTGACGAACTAGCCAGCGCCTCCGACACAGACACAGACACAGACAGGTCCTAGATGCCAGAAGAGTGGCAGTGGTGCTGCCTGCGCCGTGTTGGAAAGGTCCTGCGTGTTGAGTTCTGGCAGTTGGACCGGAGCCTCCGAGATTGCCTTATGCCACCAGATCCAGAGGTTGATCTTGGACCAGGGTGCAGTGGCTCGGAGCGAGGTCTGCAGTAGGCTCCACACAGCCGTCAACTGCTGACCACGAGCAACCTGGGAGGCTTTGGATTGCAAAGTTGGCCATGCCCTGCATCGACCGATCCAGCGAAAAGCCCCCACGGCATGCTCAGGCCTTGACGGGAGTTGCGGGGCTTCACACAATGCTAGCAGGGCTGTGCGGATCATACCTACCTCCCGGCAAGGACTGGCTCAGGCGATGACATGCGCATGCGATCAGTTGCCTCGGAGCCTGCTCAACCCTGCACTCTTTGCGCCATTTTGCTAGCGGAACTGCGGCAGGTGAGCTGGCACCGGAGCTGGCCTCAGCTGCCCAGAGAAGCAATCCGAATTACCTCAAGCTCCTGCATGCAGCTCAGAAGCTGCGGAAAGGCCCACGTTTGAGGTTGCAAGCCGTTGGCGCTCTGCGTGAGCTGCGGCCTGCTCGGCTGAAGCCAAACCGCCCATAAATACGCATCCCTGAACATCCAAAAACGCTTAAAAGAAACCCTGGACCGAGCCTCTGATACCATGCCCAAGCTGGGTTCAAGGTGTACGGCATGGGCAGTGCAGGACCGGGCGCAGCCCCGGCGGGAGTCTGTGAAACGAGATATCCTGCGTGGAGCTGCCAGGCTGCCAGAATCACACAACGAGCGCCATGACAATCAGAATGAGCTTAGTTGAAGCCAAGCTTCTTCCGCACTGGCTCCGAACTGGGAGCCTCAGGCAGGAACCACGCAAACCCACACCATCCTGGCATGCTCCCCCTGCAAGCAACACTTTTCTGGAAATGAGGAAGGCAAGTCCATGAAGCTACGCTGGAACTAGAGACTGCAAAGACGGCCTGCTCTGAACCGTCTCCGGGAAGGCAGGTGGCTCTGGCGCAGGCTCTGCTTCTATCTCCTGGTCTCGGCAAACTGGCAAACTAAGCCTCGAAAGATCTTGAAACCTCAAAGCATCCCGCGAAATCGGCTCTCCTGCTGCGGTGCAGCAGCACACTCCCGGCTTGGCCGGTTTTCGGGCGCCCCTGTTTGGCTGCGGCCTGAAAAGACTGCGACAGTCACTAATCCTTGCTTCCGCTTCGCGACCCCACCTAAGTCCACGCTTCCCGCGTTCTCGTGCTCCATGGCTGGGATGGACACGACGATCCGCTCTTGAGAGCTCCTGACGAGATGTCAGTGCACAGGGACTTTCCCTTCAGCCCAGATGCCGTCCTCGCTGTTTCAGTGGCACAGCATTCTGCTGCCCACTGCAACGCTGGCTGGGCTTGTTGGCCCAAGTGTGAGACACTTTCAGAAACCTCGCAAGTCAAAGGTTCGGCACGGCACGGGTCCGGCAAGCGTCAGCACCTTCCGCGTTGCTACAGCAGGCACACGATACCTGTAAGCCAGGATGCTCGCTCAACCAAAGTCCTGTCTGCCCGGGAAGCCAGTTTTTCGAGCGACGCCGGGTTAGCAGACAGAGCGAAACTCACCAGGAGCCATGCCTGCAGCGCCGTCCAAAGTACGACATGACAGCGAACACCTCTCGCAACTGAGCGGGGTACTCCTTCATCAGCTCCGTCGGCTGTAACGAGTGGCAAGCAGATCTGCTCAGACTCCCAGATCTCTTGCGAAGCTGCATGGGCCTTGGAAGAAGCTTCAACACAAATCCAACTGCGAACTGGGTGCAGTTGCCTCATCCTTTGCCCCCTTGCTTGCGACCTGCGTCACTCCGGCAGAACATGGCAGAACCCAACACTTCGGCCGGCCGCCTGGGCCACCTTTGGGTTAGAGCATGCTGGAAGGATCCGACGCCTGAAAGTGACACTGCAAGGATTCTGATCAATGAGAGGCTTCCGGGACGTTCGCTGCCTCATGTCGAGTGTGCAGCAACCGACTTGGCTTGGCCGGGCCAGGTCTAGCTGCAAGGGGCCCAGGCGCATGTCACTCCGTGTGTGCACACGCAGGGACAGGCCACACGAAGTGAGCTCCGACAGCTGAACCTGAACCAAGTGCCCGACCACCCCTAAATAGCACCACGATCTCGGACAAGCTGACTTCTTCTGAGCGACGGTGAAGACCATCGTGTCGCCGAAGTGCCACTCACAATCCTCCAGGAATGCAGCACGACGGCAAAACTCTTGCAATCCAAGCAGATCTTCCTTTCTTGTCCTGTAGAGCTGTCGGAACCAAACCTGGCTTTCGGGCCTCAAAAAGTGCCGAACTACGCCGAGTTAAAATGTCTTCATCCGGTGATCGACGACTGTCAGCTCAGCGTGCCGCACTTGGTCCGAAGGTTGGCGTACCCACAGAGACGTACTCAGCAGGTTCGGACTCCTTGAGATGCACTCTTGCCGACGGCACCAGCCGTGACTTGTGGTGGTATGCAGACAGGTCGCCTTCACTGTATCACCAAATGCCACTTCCACACATGGATGCTCTCGCATGAGCAGTCCTCACGCTGTTTGGACACTGCACACCAGGAGGCACAGCAAACATAGAATCTCTTATTGTGACCGGATACCGGATACCTTGTAACGAGTGTGTTGGCGAAAATGCGAGTTTAGGGCTGTTCGGTGAATTGGCAGGCCGTCCCACCCAAACCCCAACCACAGGGAACGCAAACGAGCGCTCTGTCTCACACTCTCACACCATTTACTGGCCTGTTCCTTTCGGTCTTGCCGATACGCCCTGCCTTCCGTGGCTGAGAGATACTCTAGAAAACCTGACGATACCTGATGGCATGCCGACCCGCACGGCGGTCTGGCGGCCACGCAGTGGGAATTGGGAATCAACATAGCCTTTTTGAACTCCAGTTGCTGGAGCTTCCAGCGGCCGTCAACTCATCAAGCACAAAGCTTGCGTCATAGCTCCATAGCTTCAGTTCAAGTAGCCAATTCATTCTGTCTGTGTGATCTGCATGGCAAAGGCCAAGATTTGGGAGATTCGTGATCACTGGCTGTGGACCTACCGCCCATGGGAAACCTGGACATTGAAGGCATAGTCTGCTTAAACCTCCAGCCCCGAAAACTCGGCGAGAGTCTAAAGTGGTCGATTATGGTTGATTTGATAGCATGTGTCGTTTCAATCCAGTCAGCTGGAAAGCTGCACAGCGCATCGTCCTGGCTCTGCAAGCCCTGGAATCGATGCACCCAGCAATCGCACGAAAAGTCGGCAAGCATTGCGCTCGTCTGTTGCACGTCGGAGCTGCGGCAGCCTTGAAACAACGCAACGTTTCGATAGCTGTCATGGCCCGACATCCAAACGCAGGACATCCGGCAGTAAGAAGCCATATGCTGAGCAAGTAAGCCATGCGCTGGCATGTGCTGCACTTGTTCTGCAGCCACGCGCCGCTGAAGAACCAGGCAGCTTGATACATCAAAGCTGTCGGGTGCCATGCTAGCACGGGCTGCTACAGATTGATCGTTTGTCTCGGTCTCGAGCTTCGGGTGTCATCTTCTGGGTTTGGTAAAACCAGGACTCTACATGCAGATAGAGCAGCTGAACGGTCGCAACATATCACATGCCAAGAACTACCTGACTCATGACATAGTGAGTATAATGTTTACAGACGGTCATGGGGTTGAATGTCCACTGATCTTGATTTTCCGGCTGGCCGGAGAATTACGTGCAGACGATGCTGATAACATCACATGTCGAACGTGTGTACTCGGACATGAGGTGTAACCTGCGCCCTGCCTTCCTTGATTGGTGAACTTCCGACAAGTCCAGTCGCAGCCTGAGAGCTGCATATTGCGAAGGCGAAGTCGGCGAAGTATGTCGCGATCCGAGCTACTGGGAGCCGGGAGCCCTACCGTAGACGTCTCGCCGCGGTACTGTGACGTGGCGGGACTCCACGCAGCGGCCGCAATCTACTGCGCCTCAAACCTGCAACGGCTTCCATGTCCCCAAGGCCCACAGCACAGCACAAGGCTCCAACGAAGGGAGGACTCGAGCTAACCCGAGCCTGTCGAGCGCCACCAGCCCTTGGCTTCCTGTTGACTTCGAGAGTGGCGCGTGCCTCAAGGTGACGCGTGGACGTGGGGATGTGTGGGGATGTGGGCACCCCTCCGACTTCAGATGCAAGCCTGATGCATGCAGCTGCATGCAGGCAGTTTCTGCCGCGAACATCTGTGGAGCGCCTGCGCCAACTATCCGTCGCCTCAGGCACTGCCGCCTCCTTGTATTCCTTCCGAGCTTTGCAGAATCTATCTCAAGGTTCATTAACTAGGACCAGGATTGGCCCTCTTGCCCTCTTGCTTGGCAGAGGGGGAAGCCCGCTACGCGAGATCGCTTTCTCGTCCCTCCCCTCCACGAAACAGAACTCCTCACGTCTCGGCGAGTTGCTGTACATTTTGTACATGTTCCCCTCCCCTTCAGGGCAGAGTACAGGTTCTGTTCTTCTGCATGCCCGGCATCTTGCCTCTGCAATATGACCACGGACCATGGAACGTCTGCCACAGCGTCTCGGCCTGGCACCGCCTGTCCGTTGTCGAACCTTGGATTGCGAATCAAGGCCGAGGAAGCCCTTAGAGGTTCCCGAACTGAGTCATCTACCACTTGCCGCCCCAGTAGATCCATTTGCTCAGGCGGGGCTCCATGCAGCAGCACCTACCAGTTTGTGCTCAATGTTTCTCAGCAAGGAGTAGCGTAATGAAGCAGAGCATATCTTGGGCTTCACGCATGTCTTCCACGTACTGGTGCGGACGTCGTCTGAGCTTCCGCTCTGCAGACGAATCCTCCTGACCTGGGAGCAATGCTTGCCACATGGACTCCACTTGCTTGGAATCCGTGCAGCCCGCATTGAGGAGGCGGTGCCTTGCCTGCAGGGCTCAACAACAGATTCGGATGGCACATGGCACATTCAGCTCGTTCGGACGATCAGATCGGAGCAGGCCTGAGGTTGCACACCTGGATGGCTTGAAGCTGTGGCATCGCGCAAACCAAGACAGAAGCCAATCCGTCACCTCCTCGAGGCATCGACAGGTGCACGAGCACATACTGCTTTGTAGCTTGAGTTGCTTGCGAACTGCTTCGTGTTGTGCATGGACAGGTACACGACTGGCACACCGTCGGGATACCACCTTTCGTTTGAGTTACATGCCGCTGGCCGCGGCTCTCTCTCGAAAGTGCTAAGGGACGCGCTTGGAGTCTTGCATAGGTTTCGGATCCAGCTGCCATCTCTCTTTGAACAAAGCCCATTCCAAGTCGAACTTGCACCACTCCTGCGCGAACTGGATGCAGGCTCCCTCATTGCAAGGTCCGAATACGTGCTGCCGAGTCCTTGGTGGCCTTGTCACGCCAAAGCCCGACATTGAGCATGTCCTCTACATAGTCACCGTCCGAAGACTCCCGAAGGTGAGCTGCCTCAGCGCCTCATCCTCCATCATAAATGACCCGTACTTGACCTGCAACTGAGACAGCGCCTAGAAAAACACTGAAGCTGAGGATCGGTGCACCTGTCGAGGTGATTTCCTTTGATCCTCGATGACGGCCAAAAGTCCGTCGGAGGATGCTGCATTCAGGTCCCAGGCCTGGATGCTCCAGGCCTGCTAGCGTGGCGGAGTCGTCAAGCTGCAGCCGCTCTTGACGGCATGCAGCCTAAGCCCACAAATTACGCCTTCGCCTTGGTCTTGAAGCCGGCGACAAACCTTCGGCATCGGAAGCACATGCAGGAACCGACAGTAACTCTTGCAACGGGTGATGCTAGCCGCGAGACCGATCTTTTTGCAATGTACCGTCACATCAGTCCGACTGGTCCACCAGTCGAAACGCCATGGTGTCTGGTCCAGCGCACGGCCCTCGACTGTGGCGGAGTGAAGTGCCAGAGTGCCAGCGCCGCCTTCTTGCCGATGTCCCAAGTCTAACTATGTAGACCCTGACCGGAGACTTGCAAATCCTTGATAATCATAAACTCTTGCCCAATCTTCGGCAGTATGCACGGCGCGGGATGTCGTGTCTATGCTGTTTGAAGTTTGAATGCTTTGAATTTGCAGGTCTAAGACTTGCAGAGCTCAGTGGATAGATTCAGCGTCTTGAAGCATGGCTGACACTGGCGCAGCGGCTCGGCAAACCAATAAATCTGTGAGTTGGATATGGACCCTCTGCCAACAATACCCTTGACACTTTTTCAAACTCAAAGATGCAAATGGCTCAACATCCACATGCACGAACGTCCAGGATTCAGACTGAAAGCTTACGAATTGAGGATTCAATGGCTTAGTAACTTAGATCAGAGTAGTGCATACTGAACATGTCACATCGATCTCGGGCATGTACTAGAGAAGCTAACAGGGTGATACAGTCGCCACCATCTCAGCAGAAGAAGCATGCAGTGCTTCCTGCAAGGTTCGGCCATACTGCTGTGTGTGCCAGCACCCACTCGTTGTATGTGAAGCCGATGCTTCCGGCACCCTTCTCCAACAGCTAGGGGACGACCTTGCGAGGACATGCCCAGGCCGCCATGACTCCCGACACCCCGCCGGGTCTTCTTTGATTCGCAGCAATGCGTTGAGCCTAGCAACATTCCGAGGCCTCCTCCTTTGGTCGATCGTCTGTAAGACTCTGTTTGCAAGTGTAGATAGGTGGCCATCACGACCGACCTCCTCGAATCTGTCCGGATCTTCACTGACGGGCTGCAGAAGATGCCAAACCAAGTGGTCGTATCGAAGCACCTGTGATGTTGAACCTCTTCTCCTCTGTGATGTCTTTTCTGTCTGGAAACCATGCTTACGCGAAGGGACGGTCCGGCAACATCCTTGTCGCACTCGGAAAGGTTTTTCTTTCCGAGTTCGATGTTGCCTGTCGCCCGGGTAAGACAATGCCCAAATCCTCGTCTCCAGTGGGTGATGAAGAGAAGAAGGGGCCTTGCGACTCAGGGCCTTCTGCCAGTGAACCGTCTAGTACGCGGCGCCACCCGTTGCGAGGAACCCAAATTTCCAGTTTGTCAACTTTTGCTCGGCGCAAGTGCACGTCGATTGTCAGACGAAGGACGAGGGTCGAACTGATTCGGCAAGTTGTTTCGAAGCATGACTCAAGAGAGAACTGCAAGTTCGCCGAGCCGAGAGGTTTCGTGCCGGCATGGCTGCGCGGCTACCCCGCTGCTTGATGCATCTGAAAGCTCGCAGATCGTTGTTGCAAGTTTTTCCCAGAACCACAAGCAATACACTCTCTACACAGATAGAACGACCGGCGAAAACCGACACGCTTCATGCATTCATGCCTCTCGTAGAGGAGATCAGCTAGGAAGGGTAAGGCCCAGTATGTCCATGTCCTGGGCCCGGCTCCAACTTTGCGTGCACAATGCGCATAGCGGCATCGAGGTCGGAGCGGGTGCGCATGACCCCACCTGCTGGAAGAGAGGCCCGCAAACGTCCCGCTGATAACACTTCTGACCTCATAGTCCTTTGGCCAGCCCACCCTTCGAAGTTCATGTCCTGAATCATCTTTTGTCGACTGATCTTCTTTCTCTGCGCCGCGTACCCACGCATGCAGATGCTGAGGTGCCGACGGAGTAAAGCTCTCCTTTCTTGGCCTGGCATGTAGCACTGCCAGATGGTGCCATACCCAGCGCAGCACAAAACCCGGAACAAGCGCGGCGACGGAACATCTCTCGACATCCTTGGCTTTTGTGCCAGACGTGCTACCAAGGTGTTCCTGTGGCTGGATGCCGGCAAGCATCCAGTGGACCGGCAGCATGGGCCAGGGGTAGTGCGAGTGGATCTCGCGACGAGAAGCGGCAAACATCCTGCACCAACAAAAGCCTGAAGAAGCTAGTGAGCACTTGCACGAGCGAGCTGCTGGCAGGGCTCAGGGCCCAGGGCCTCTCCACCTCTGGCGCAATCAGCTGATCGGTGTCCTGTCATCGGAAGGCTCTGAGCAAGCCTCGAATTCCCGGCTCGCAGGATGAACCAAGGACTTGTCCAGCTGAACACCCACGAGGGTTCGGGAAGCGATCATGGCGCGAAGCTTGTTGAAGTTGAAGGAAACTGCTTTTCCTGTCAAGCAGCTCCGGAGACTTTGAGAAAAGCAGAAGATCCCAATGTCTCCTGGCAGGGGCAGCATCTTGTACACGATGACCTTCACTCGGACACTAAAGCTGTAAGCATGCCATGGCCAGACACATAGTGGGAAGAGCTTAGGGTCTGCTGTCTTGCCGCCCGAGCTGCGTTGGGGAAGTGCCGCCACTGCCATGGTGGAACATACTGCTCGTCGAAAACCTTCGCCAGGGCTGCTAGGGCTCAGCCTGGGCTCAGGAGCCCTACACTGCGACTGCACTTCCCTGAGTGATTGGCCACCACGATAACCGGCTTTGAGGAGAATAGGTCAATTGAGCGAACAAGGTTGGTAGCCTCACATACAGCATCAAGAACGTTTGACGGACGCACCGTTCTAAACAAGTGCCCTGTGCCGCGTGTGACGCCTGCAGGGCATAGATGGAGTCCTGCACTCCAGCGACGTATGTCCTCAGCAGTGGCAAGACCATGCTCAGAATTTCGCCCAGATGCATCATGCAGGTGGCTTGCGCCGTCGTCCTACCATGCAGCTAAGGCTTCGGCACGAAGGCTTCATCCACCCAGCCAGATTCGGAGGTCCATCGGAGGTACTGGTCCAAGAAATCACAGTCCAAGAATGTCTGCCTCATTACACGACTATCTTTGCAGTGCATGCTGGCTCCACGTCATGCTGAGAGATTGACCATAGAGGCTGCAGGGTGGTCTCATCGCACATTGCCTGGCAGACAGGCGCCTTCGACGGCGATGTCTGGTGTGTCGCGTGCCTGGAGGCTCTGGTCCAGAATGTGCTGGGCCGTTGCATGCGCGTGCCCCTCTCCTGGCACCTGCACTTCGCTGTTTCAGGTCGAGCTGGTTTAGATTCTAGATCCATCTAGGCCCAGGGCTCTCGAGGATGTGTGGTCGCACGACCAAAGCTGGGCCACCCTAGACGAGCGACACCTGCGATCTTCATCTTCCCACGGATCTCTCGTGGAAGTGGGAAGTGGGGACGCTTTAAGCTGCTGGCTCTTCTGAAATTGCCTGCGGTGGCCCAGTCCTTCACGGCTGCAAACCCGGCAAAGGATAAGGAAGGCTGCACTTGGCCGCCGGGTCTTGCGCCTCCATTTCTGCTTTTGGAGATCTTGGTGCTTCCCACAAGCGGCCGGACAAAGCTCCCTTGGCCGCTCCGTTTTTGCGAGCACCGCACGTGAGCCCAAGAGCTGGGGAGCTCAGGCGGCTCTTAGGCCCGGGCAGCGCGTACTGCGGGCATCTCTTCAGCTCGGCCTTGGAGCCATCCTGGAGCTCCCCAAAACAAAAGCTTCGATTCCTTGCGGCGGCCCTGCCCTGCCCTGACCTCACAGGTCTTTCCAGAGAGGGTGGCCTGGCGAGCCAGGGCTGAGGAAACTGCAGACAGGGATGCAAACTCTGCAGGACACTTCGCCGCCTTTGTCGCAGCTTTGGCAATGGCTGCCCCAATCTTTGAGAAGCCACCGCTACCTTCCATCCACTGGTAAACCTGGATCACCAAGTCGCAGAAGCGCACGCAGCGAACTCACTCTCTCGTTCTTTCCCCTCTGCACAGCAAAAGGACAGGGTGGATGTGGGTGGATCAGATCTCGCCCCGCCCCCTCTCTCAGTCTCTCCGCCTCTCCCGCACTCTTGATGCAGCCTCAGTGTGAGACGTGTTACAGTGCGTGCCTCTCTCTCTCTCCGTCCCTCTCGTCATCTTAGGCTCTACACTTCACTGGACTGGGGGTAACCTCCGCCTTCTTCTGCGGTCAAGGTGTGCTCACTGCAGCGCACTCTCCTGCACGATAATGCGCCTTGTCTTTTCCAGTCGGCATGAAAATACGAAGCACCCTGTGTCCGACTGGATTTTCCCCCGACTCCATACCGCTCAAACTCTACCCCCAACCTGCTTCTCTCTCACTCGCTCTCACTCACTCGGGCTGGCCAGCGGTGTCTACTGGGCATTGGTGCTCAAGCCACATCTACTACTCCGGAGTTGATGGTGTTATTGCGCCTGGATCAAGTGGAAATTCTTGGCTGGGCGACCGACCCGGGAGAGTGCCAAGAGCTGTGGCGAGTCGGCCTCTCAAGCTGCAACGAGCTGTCGGAGCATGGAACAGGGTTTCGGCCCATCGACGCATAACTAACATTGACATTGATATTACATGTCAGTCCAAATACCCACCTTCTCGATCCATGCTACTAAGCCATCGATGACCTTCCAGAGGGTGCCTGCATGTGCGAACAAAAGGTATCTCGATCTCTGAAGAACTTGACTAAAAGTCTCGCGATTTTCGTCTGATGCTGTTGCCCTTTTCGTATGTGTCCCCCAAAAGAACAAAGCTGGCAGATAGCTCAGGCAAGTGAGGATTTGGAGCTTCTGTGCCACGAACCAACCCCACGCAAGGCGCAGCCTCCAGACAGTCGCAATCACACACGTGGTGGAAGGAGGCACCAGGGGCCGTCGAGTAGCTTTCGTTTTGCAGACGCTGCACCCATCAAAGGCCAAGAATCGGGACATGGGCACAAGAAAAACCGGGGAGCTGCACAGTCACTGGCAGGGTTGCCATCATACAGACATGAGGGACGAAAGACTAGCCAAAGCTGTTGACTTTGCTTACAGCGGCGGCTGGTCCGTGAATAGATTCCGAGCCGCAGTTGGAAATGCCGCCAGGTTTGGTGCCTTTGCTTTGCTTAGTCCGACGAAGCACTTGAAAGAGTCAAAGCACGTGGCGCGTGGCGTGGCTGGTTCGGGCCGCTTAGCGAGAAACTTGCGCCTTGGCATCTGCTTGGTGCATGGCACACAATGCATCAGACAACCAGGCAGGTGTAAAGGGCCGTTGAGACCTGACTCGGGACTGGCAAAGCAGACGCTGCACGAACAACGAACGGCTTGCCTCACAAAGACTCAAGATGTTTGATCAAAGCAACAACCCGAAAAAATGACGACGACTGTAGCAAGCCCAGATCCTGAACAAGGGCTTGCGTTGCAAACATTAGTCAGAGCAGTGGCGGCGAGACCAGCAAGTCGTGTCGCCTGGAGCAGCGCCGACTTCGTTCCGGCCTGCACCAGACAGTCGGTTGCCCAAGCCGTCTGTCATCAGACTGTTTCCAGAACCTCCTGGATCTGAAGGCAGCTGGACCAGTGCCGCAAGGTCTTCCACTCCTTGTGTTGAGAAACGGCAAAGGAATGGACTGCAAAGTTTGTGCAGTTGGCGTCGGTGCAAATTTGCGAAAGAGCAGCCAACTTCACGATGAGGTGGGTCGTGGCATTGACACGTCCTCAGTCAGCGCCAGAGACGTCTTGGACTGGCAGGGGGTGCTACACCATTTACCTCAGCCAAGCACTTCAGCATGCCGTACGCCATGTCTGTCCTCGACTTGCGGATGACAGTTTTCTTTCGGCCACGGAAATCTTGCCGGATGCACTGGCTGCCAGCAAGGCCACCGCTTTGGCAAGATGTCGGCACCACTACCACCACCGCCAGCAGCAGCAACAACGCCAACAACATCAACAGCCACAACCGCAACTACAACCACCACAGCCAGTACAACAGTCCCAGCAATCACGACGCCAACAAAAACGCCACGACCTTGGGGAGGAGGAGCACAACGACGAAGCTGAGAAGATTAAAAAGCACAGCCGCATTGTCAACCGCTAGGACGCTAGGACATCGACAACAACACGACTCAATGCGCCAGCAACCAAATTGAATCTGACGACTCTGTGATGACAGGGCTACTACGGGTCTCTTAAATCGGAGAATGCAATGCAGAAATGCCGAAGAGTCTCTTCCCGAATTTGTCGAGCAAGCAGGCGACCTCCTCCTCCGGAGATATTCGAATCCAAGCAGCTCCGGCACACTCGGCACGCTCTTCTCTGCAGAGTCCTTACCCTTCTTCGTGTACCAACCTTTTTGTCGATGGCCGTAGCGCACCTGCGCAGATCAGCGGGGGTTTGCCTTTGGAAACCACTCCGCACGCCGCATCCCCATAAGCCCAGCTGAAGAGAAAGTACAGTACAGTCGACAGCCAGTGCTGCAAAGTCACGCGGCCGCTGGCGCACTTGCAAAGCTCATTCTCGGATGCGCAAGTTACCCATCCAGCTTCGGGATCTTTCAGTAGCAGGTTGTCTAGCCTTGGCCGATACTACTTCGACAGAACACTAAACTGTCAGCTATCTAGCTCAGCCGGCTGACACTTGGTTGACTTCTGCTGCGGAGCTGGCATCAAGCCACCTGGGGATTGTCGGGCTCGCCGACAAGCTGCATTTTGCACACTGAGCGCTTCTGCAAAATGCGCCTGGTGCTGAGTTGGATTGTCTCCACCTTTCAGTACGAAGCTTCTTGAGTCGAAGCGTTACTCTCGGCAGCAGGCGGGCAGCCTCCTGGAATGAAGCAACCTGAGATCTGTTGCGCGGCTCCTACGGCCTATGGCAGGCTGGAGAGGAAAAGCTGGGCTCCTGGCGTGCAACAACCAGGAGCCAAGGCCTCGCCGAACAGCGCTAACCTGAAGACACGACACGGGTTGAAACCCGAAGCCCTAAACGGAAAGGGCGAGCTTCTGTTTGGGATGTTCCTGGAAGGCTCGATGTGGACTCTCATTGTGCGAGCCGCGAGCCTGCTCCGGGTCGAGGGAAGCGGACCTCAGTGGCAGCCAGGAGCCACGGCGCACCCCGTCTCTCGTCAGGTGCAGCACCCGGGCTCCATCCCAGAATTCTCATCGCTTTGCACCTTCATCCACTTCGTGCGATTCTTCGGAAACCCTCCAAAATACGCAGTGCATTCTTCGAGTTCACAAGTCAAGGCTTGCTGGGGCAGTGACATCTGACATCCAGTCTGCAGAGTCGTGCACGCCTTGAGCGCCATCATCTTTAAGAGCTTGTGGGATGCCGGCATCAACCTCGACAGGCGGAAGGCAGCAAACGCACAAAAGCAAGCAAGCAAGATCGCTATGACAGCTATGAACCGAAGCCTGCCCACGAGGCTAAACCCCGTTCCGCTGACAAAACATCCTAGCAGAATATTGCAGGTGGCCATAGGTGGCCATGTGCACCGAGTCCAGTCTGGTTCGAGTGTCAGCGCTCACTCACGTTCTAGCCAGGCGAAGTTCAAGGCGCCGATGTGCCAGAGAGTGTTCACTCCCATGCGCCGGAAGGATACATGTAGCGAACTGCAGAAATTCCCACACAAACACTTATAATCAAAAGCAATGGTTCCGCTGACACGAGCACCAGATCGCGAAAAGTTCGAGGCCACATGCTGGTGCATGCGGCTCCGCGGCTGGAAAAAATCACCCGGCATTCTTGTGGATACCCGAGTTGCTGCCACGCGCTTCTACAATCCCCAAACGGAAGGGACACCGGCAGTTTGCAAGACATCGGACTCGGGCCACGAACGATGGTGTTAGTGAAAGCAGGCGAAAGCGAAACCAGCCATGTGCCGAAAAAGTGCACCGAGCGCCATGGGAGAGCAAATAGTATACGACGCACAAGAGCACAGCAAACCTTTGCCTGAACATCTCTATTGCAAGAGGCAAGCTGCAGTCCGTCAAGAAGGACTGCTGCCAGACGACCAAGTACGATGCAAGCACCTAAACAAAACACTGCAAGCATCCCCGAACGCTAGGATAAGATATCCTGCACCAGGTTTGGGCCAACTACACGAGGTCAACGAGAGCCATCAAAAGCAGTTTACAACAAGATGACCCCCAAGCGAATCCACACGAGAAAGCTTCTGTGAAATAGAACGTTGCACAAACTCCCCACTCGTTCTGTTGAAGCAGACATGCCTGCTTTGCTGGAGGTTCGGGTGGAACTGTCTGCTCTTTGAAGACGTCCGCAGGACCATCTTCGTCTTCGTCTTCCTCCTCGGAGGGATCCTGGTGACTTCTTTCGGACAGCGAAACTCTCTCAGTCTCAGAACTCAAAGCCCGATCAGTGAGAAGCCACACCCGGTTTGCGACTGAAGACTCGAAAAGAGCTCGGACAATATTCATCCGCTGCTTATCCTGTACGCTTCTACGGACAATCGCGACAGGAATCATGACTCCTCCTTGCTGTTTTCTCGCCGTCGCTGCAGGGACCTTGCATTGCAGCAACAAACATCATTTACTGAGTCTGCACCCGCGATGATTCTGGAACTCCGAGATGTCTGCTGCAACATGAGCTGTTGGGACTGGATGGGCGCCTGCCGGCTGTGTCATTCCAGCCTCCTCGGGCTAGGCTTGTATTGTAATTCTTGTAATCATGAGTTTTATGCTCATTCTTAGTAGCATTAGCAATAGTAGTGGTATTGCTGCGATTACGATTGCCATTTCTACTAGAACCTATACTCATGCTTTCACTTGCCTGGCCGAGCGCGCTGTTCTGGCCGAACATCGTCTCGAGCATGGAGAAGACCTGCTCAAGCTACAAAGGGATACTATAAGGGTTACCCTAAGGAACCATGGCCATGTCGAACCACGGGCCCGGCGATGATGACCACGCCGAGAAAGATTGTACATTCTACAAGCCTGGACGGAGATTGAAATTATGTCCATCTCAATTTGAAGAGCTGACTTGCTTGCCTCTTCACAGTCAGACCACGCCCACTTTGTGGCATAGCTCAGATGTCGCATTTCTGTCTCCAGTGCAGTTGCAACGCTGGGTTTCACATCCGGGCTGACAACACGAAAATGCACTAGCGCACGTTCTGGCAAAGTCTGCCGGTGTACTGGTGCGTCGAAGTGCTAGGTTGCTTCCAGTTGATCTCGACTCTCACTTGATTTCGGGTGCCTGCAGATTGGTCACGTTTGTCAGTGGTTTCAATGTATGACATGCATCTTCAAATTGTATGCTACGTCGGGCAAATGTTGAGCCAAACTCTAAGGGTCTCCAAGATGGCATCCCAAGCCCAGCAAAAGCTACGGCGTCTTGCAAAAAAAACACAACCCCTCCACAACTATTGCAGCGCAGATGCCTGTGTACCTAGGCTGCATACATCCAAGCCCTGTTTGCCGAGTCCTCGCGAGCGCAACTGCTGATCAAGTCTTCGTTTGGTCCAAAGAACAGACACCACCAAGCTCCTGCGGATTGAATCCTGACATGATGCGCAGAGATGCATCGCCTCAACCAGGTCACTCTTCGTTCACAGGGTGGCACGAAAATGTGAACAAGACCACCGCCCACCTATCAGGGTCAGATAGGCCCCATCTGCCCAAGATGTCGCCTCAGCTGACGGACAGCACAGCCAGGTTGTAGATGATCAGTCTCTGACTCTCCATTGTCTTCCAGCCTGGAGTCTCTGAGTCGTGCTCGCCAGATCCTTCCTGCAGCTACGACAATGCGTGCTTCGGCCAAGGATCTGCTTTCCTACACTGCTCCACAAAGCTCAAGACCCCTACGCATTGGGTGCGTGGATCTTGCGTTGAGCGGACGATGGAAGGGCACCTCAAAGGACAGCCCCGTCAATCTGATTGACACAGATAACTGAGAGACTGCACCTGCCTAGAAGGACTTCGTTGCGCCAGCTTAGCTTGGCCTAGGTGGGGATCAAGCTCCATTTAAAGGGCAGGCTCTGAACTGAGCTACAGACGCAAGACTGCGCAATGTTTGCAAGCTCTTGGGGCCTCAGCTCCGACACGGCCCGCCGTAACATTTCCAAGTGCTGTGTTCTGTTGCCTGTCGAGCTTAGACTCATGCCGAGACGAGTCCTGGATGCATCGACCCATAGCATGTCACGCTCGAAGTGAGGCATGGACATGAAGTGAGCCTGAAGCTCCATGATCCGCAATGCGACGGCTTCCACTCTTCCGTCGTCCCTCGTGGACATAGCTCCCAGTCACGCCTTCAGCTCAACGCACCTCTGGTCCTAAAACCCCTAAATGCTCCTGCTGCCCCTGAGACGGGGCCTTTGCCATCGTCCGAACCGTTTTCGCCAGATCTTTGGGGTCGAGGCATGCGAGACTCTTTGAAACAGCGCCTGGCACGATTGCCAGCACGTGCTCGTCCGGTCCACAGGTCTGTGCTTTCGTAAATCCCGGAAACCTTCAGCTTCGTGAAGCCGCTTCTCCTGAAAGCTCTCAGAAGATCGCAACCCGAGTTGGGAAAGCATCAAGAAAACTCGAAGCAACAAGACAATTGATGGCTTATGCCAGCCGCAGTTGCTGGAAGTGATTTCGAAGGGGCTGTGTGCTTCGAGTGCTTGCATTTGTGCACGCCGCGATGTCGTCGCCGCAAAGGCAGCCGGTTCTTGCCCGTTGGATCTTGTTCGAGGGAATGTGGCATGTTTTGTGCATGCAACTTTTCTGCTGTATGTGCACCTCCTGCCTTCTGACTACCCCGCTACGTGAATACCTCAAACAACATAAGCAGCACCATGACCACTTCGGTTTGCCCTGCGGATACAAGAGATAGCCCAAATTGCCCCCCCCCACCCCCGACACCCCCCAGACCACCAAGGTCGCTGGACTTACATTCGTGAGGAGTGATGCATGATGCTCCCTGTCGGGCAGCTATCGTGACGGGCAGCAGATGCCTGCAGAGGCTGGGTGAAGACCGTAGGACGCTCTCGCTCTCGCTTCGTTTCGTCTCCCTAGCGTGCGTCCGTGTGCCAATACGAACACGGCGGAGACTCTGAAGTTTGTGGCTAGGAGAGACATCACACCTGTCTGCCTGTGCCTCACATGCAAAGATATCAGGGATGCAAGCTCCTCCTGAAGCCGCGACCGAGCGATTCACTGCAGAGCGTTAGCCAAGTCCTGACAAGGATTTGAGCCATCTGATGTGGGTCTTCGTGTCTCTTCTCTATATCAGAAATGACCGGGACCAGAACCTTCGGTGTTAGCTGGTCGGCTGCCGGGATAGCACGCAGCAAGGAAGCGCCATCAGCGGGCCTGCACTGCAGCAAAAAACTACTGAACTGAACCTCTGAGAAGCCTCGCTCCGGACCTAACTTAAGGCTGCAGTCTGCAGTTGTCTGCTCTCCATGGGCCCATGGACACTTTGGATACAACTGGATCTCCTGCATCTTGAGGCGGCACGCCGCAGCTGCGCCACTGTCTTGGACAGCTGGCCTCCCGTATGTGCTGTGAACTCCGACAAAAGCCAGGTTTCAGGACAGGGCCTGCAGACTTCTCCAGTGCAGGAGCTTCTGCCACTGCCGCTGCCTCCTTTCTTTGCTGTCACACTTCGTCAGACCGAACAAGAGATTGGACTTTCCCTGCTGAAGCTGCAAAGCGGGTCCGGGTCTCGTTTTCTGCTCAGGGGCCCTCCCCGGCCGCTAGCTGCTCGGACTGTAGCTCCCTAGACTGATTGCTCAATGTCCCCTTTTGGGCCGAAGTGCGGCTTTCCCCCAAGGCTCCTGTGCGGCTGTCGCAGCGCGGCGACTCAACGAATGAGCCGGTCCGACCCCTCCTTGAAGATCACCTGCGGTGGCAACTATCTTGGCTCCTGCCTTTGTACTCCACTTCTCCGCCAACTCATGCGAACAAGTGGCGAGACGGTATAAAGTGTCATCTGGAATGCCGGGTCATTGCATTGGGTGATTGACACGGCAGCATGAAGCCATGCCGCATCTAACTGAAACAACCCTTGACTGTGCTAGAAGATTCCCGCGTACTCGTTCGCTGCGAAACTCTCCGCCGATCTGTGCCAAGAGCGATGCGTGCGTGTTTTACTTGCATGCTGTATCATGATGCTACCTGCCGAAAGTGTCGAAGCAGGCGCACTTGGAGTTGGGCTGTCGAAGAAATTGCAATGTAGGAATCGGCAGAGGCGCTCTGCAGCATGTGTCTCAACGGTGAGGTTTTTCCACCTCGCTTGTGCGCCTGTATTCTTGCAGCCAGCTGTTTGCTGGATACCCCAACCGCAGCCTGTCGCTCCGAGTTGCAGCCCACGAAGGGAGGGCCCTTGGCATGTGTCTGAAAGGCCCCTGCACTTCAAAAGATTCTAAAGGTGTCTCAGATCACTGCATAACGTGAACGCTTCAGCCAAGGTGCCGCATGGGTCTCTCGTATCCTCAGGTCAAAGGAAGGCCAAACTTTAGCAAAATGCCCTTTGCCAAGAAGACGTCTGCATTCCTTAGCTGGGAATGGTGACAGCCGTCAATCTGAAAGCTCATCGGAAGTAGATTTCATAATCACTCGGGCATAAGGATTTGGTGAGTCTGAACAGAGCTCCTTTCGATAATCTGCGACAACAGAAAACTTACATCATTTGCAGCTAGACCTACGCTTAGGGCATGCCAGTTTGTGACCCGGCCTGGTCGAGGCTTGTTCCCTCCGTATGCTCCTGGCCCCGATCTTGGCTCAGCCGGCAGCATTCCACCACATTGGGCGCTCGGACCTGGTTGCATAAAGTCAAATATACAGGGGCCTAAGCAAGTACCAATGGTTCCTTATTATAACTGTAGTATTGCGGGCCCCAAAACCCTTTTGTGAGTATTTTGTTGACGCTCACACTCGGCATAACCAGGCGAGGTCTGTAGACAGACTGAGGTTCGAAAGGCTCACGAGGGCTAGACACTTCGTTTGGTGTGAAGCCTGAGGTTGTTTGTACAAGAGCACGTCTTTGGAGGCTCATCAGTCACTGTCACACCGTTCTGATTTTTCAGGCCCCTATATCAAGTTTCCGGCGCCTTTTCCATGGAGTTCCTTCAGCAACATGAAACAAGTATCTTCATCTTCGTCTCCCAAGGAGTTCCTTAAGCGCAATATGAGAAAACACTGTAGGCACTGGACAATGACTGCCGGAAGGTGTGTACGCCGCAAAGCCTCAGGTGGGCAAGCCGCAGAGAAAGGCAGAAAGCCAACCGACAGCTGCAGCATTGACGAAGTTTTGCGAAGAACAGCTGGACAGCCGAGCTGACTACTTGCTGCCGAGTCTCTGCGTTCTTGAAGATGTAGTAGTCGGGATAAGGCCATTGCTGGTATTTTACGGTCGAGGCGGCCTGACAGCACACCTTGTGATCCTGATGCTCGCGCAAACAGACAGTGATGCGACCGATACCAGCCTCGACAGTGGCCCACCAGCTCTTCAAGAGCGTGAAGTCCATGAAGAAGAACCTGCAAGTAGCAAGTCTTTTCGTGTAAGCATGCGATAGACTAGCCGTGCTCAGCGATTGCAGGCAAGACGCCAGTCGCCGGCAACCGGCGAGGGGTCACTCTTGTAAGGCACATAAACTTTTCCACAAGGATAAGAGGAAAGACGAACATCACGAAATAAAGCCACATCAGGTCGTGTCCGGACAATGCGACCTCAGGCGCAACCGTGAAAGACCGCTCTGCAACTTGCCAAGGGTAATCGAGCACAGGCGCCATACTGCACTCCGCTGGCAAGTACGCGGTCAAAGCAGGTCCTGCATGTGACGATGCAAGAAGGGGCGAGAGTCGTCCGAAGTCAAGCCGCACAAGCTGGTCCTCAACCAGCGGATCTGGGAATTGGACGCGTGCTCCTTGCAGTCTGAATATTTCAAGACCTGTGGGCGAAGGGGGAAGAGCAGAGTGCACGTGAAGTTTCCCGCAACACACTTGTGGCTTTTTCTCTGAGCACTTCCGAGACTTGCCCCAACTGAAAAGAAGTTTCAAATCATGTTAGGGGCAGTCTTGCAACGACCCATCCCGTGCCGAAAAAGACGGGCTGAACTAAGAGCACCAGCCGGTGTTATGGCTGATTGCCACCCACCAAGACCTACTGCACAAGGTTTGCCATCGAGAATCTTCACTGGATTTGTCCCAGGCACCTTTTGTCTGGACTGAAAGCTCTTTCGATACTCGGCGCAACTGCCGTCGCTCACGTCAATGATCTCGCGAATCTGCACCCCGTCGGAAGCACCGCGCATACTTCGAAGCTTTTGTATGATCTTGTCCTTGACCCCGGCGACATGCTTGTGCGAGGCTGCTTTATATGCCATTCACAGAAAACAAACGGCAGGATTTCCATAAGGCTAAGAGGGACGATGTTTATCACGTCATTGATTGGCTCGAAACAGTTGAGGGGTGCAGAACTATGTTTTCAGCGATTTGTAGGCCCGCCGCCTCTGCCTCAGATCCATAGAAGTTCGCGGCATACGTCAACCAAGAAGACCCCCTCTTCTGGCCTGAAGGCTTGGGCAGGGTCCAGGGCACGGCACTGTATAAACAGTCAAGCCCGTCAAGCCCAAGAAGCAGACACAGGGCCGAATTTGACAAGACACCCCGTTGCAGCACCATGTAGACATCCAGGGAGTTCTCCAGGGCGAGTCTCTCAATGGAAGCCATGGTGTAGGGGAGTGTCCTCAAGGGCCAGCAAGCAGGAACTCGGACTTGACGGGGCTTCGAAGGTCACTTCGCGAAATCGGGTCCGGTCCTGATGTTTCCGACCAAGCAAAGTGCCGAAGGACCGCTCTTGCCTGAGCTCTTGCGAAGGAATCTACTCCAAGTTACCATAATAAAGAGACACCATACTATGTACTTTAGATCCCTATAAAGGTACCTTAAAAATTTTTGGACAAGAACCCATTTTACTATAGATCCCAAACTAAATTCCGTAAGAAGAGCCCAGTTACAGGAAGGCTTCGGCTTCGAGCCTGGGCCGCTCAAGGGCGGGGTCCTCGGAGGCAGTCTCGCCGGAAGCCAGGCCGGAGCCGACCTCCAGGGGCCCACAAAACGGTTTAGGGGTTTTTGCCACCCGCCCAGCTGAACCATGTCGCACCGCAGTTTAGGGTTTTGGGGTTTTGGGGTTTAGGGTTTAGGGGTTTAGGGGTTAGGGGTTTAGGGTTTAGGGGTTTAGGGGTTTAGGGTTCAACCTCGAAAGCACTGGTAGCACTGATCTCCTCTTGAGCCATGGGGGACTCGGGGACTGGCCTCTGATCGCGGCTCGTCGATGCATTCTGCTTCACACTCGCGCTCGCGTTGGCAGAAGTGTTCACCCAAACGTCTGCGGAGACATTTGCAGACACATTCACCGAAGGAGTAGCCGAGACATTTCCAGAGACATTCGAATAAACAGATTTGGACTCCGAGGGGGAGCCAGCTGCGCGAGCATGCGTTGGAGCCACCAAGGGTTCCTCGGCCACAGTCTGCAAGGAGTTGCGAGATTGCTACGCACGATAGTCCCCGTCCCCGGCGCAGGTTCTTTTGCAAAAGGCGCTGTGTCCAGACTTCCAAACTGATCCAAGATTTCCTGAAGTCCCAGCGACGGATCGATTTGCATCAATCGGATGCGGTCCTCGGAGTGACATCGGCAACAGCCCTGCAGCGACATCCGCACGACGAGGATCGCCGCAAATGATGCCCAGCATCTCTTGCCCAAGAACTCTGGAGTCGCAGGCTTGGCCTGGGAATCGTTCCTCTGGGTCAACTTGAGGGAACCAATGTCAAAGGCTGTCCTGAAGTCTTTCTTTGCCTTATCTCCGGTTTGGGCTGGCATTCAACCACTAAGCAGGCGAATCTCCACGATCTGACCATTAAACTGACTCAAGCTGCATGCCGCGGCACCAGAAGAATAGTCAGAGTAAGGAGCAGAGCCACAAGCAGAGCGACGCGGACATGCAGTTGTCGGAAACAGGAGGCTTTGGCCTCACAGCTGATATGACAAAACAGTTGGAAAAACAAAGCGCCGCTGCCCTGAGCAAGATTCACAGCAACTGAGAGTGGCACATCTGGTTTTTGCATTCAATTCATCCTATGCCATTGCTCTGGGACAGGCTGGTACCATAGCTGGAGCAAACGGCCCCAGCTGAGGAGAGCTTGATATGAAAGTCGTGCTGTTTCCAGGCTCTTTTATCCACCGTCGAGTGTAGCAGGCCTTGAGGTTTGCACAGTCGCTTCTTGATCTTCACAGGTGCCAGCAGCGAACTCCGAGTTCTGAGATTGCTATGATGCATTACATTCCCGGCGCCTGCATGCATATACACATGTCATGTGTCTCTACATGTCAGCTTTTCCTGCTCGCTGAGCTGAACGGATGGGCGCATCTCAGCATAGCTCAGCTTCACTTGCGATGAATCTTGGCTCTTTGAATCCACACAAAGTCCAGATCGCCACATGCTGCGCAAGGTGCATGCACGCATTGCTCTCATCCTTTCTTTGTCCACAGAAGCTTCGTGACAAACGCTTGTCGCTATTCCGCTGGTCGCAAGCCGAGATGTCCAGGCCGAGGCAGCTGAAAGCTGGCCTTCATAAGTCACCTCGCAATGCGAAGCAGGCTGTCGAGCCGCCGTGAAACCGAGAGAGCTGACAGTTGCAGCTCGTCTTCTCCTAGCTCTGCGGGGGTCTTCGTGTTGCTGCGATACTGAAGGTAAAACTTGTGCACGTGCCTGTGGCGGGCAAGAGTTCCAAGGCAAGATCACACATGAAGCATACCGAACACTTGCTTGCAGCTACTCTGAAAGAGCGGCGGGCTTGAGTGCTTCGTGGAATGTTCGCTACAACTACGGGGTCAGGCTTCTCAGGCCGCGAATTGCCCGTTGCGTGCTCCACCATAGATTGTGCGTCCTGTCGAGGAACGATTCCGACAAGGGAGTGAAGGAAACAGGCACTCGCAACATCAACTTGGGCATAAGGGATGAACCCATCGTGTACTGGTTCTGCGTCATGACAAGAGGTGACGCCCGCATCTCGGCTGAGATCCAGCTACAATGTAGCATGAGCAAGGAGAAGCAAAGTCGCAGAAGGTGGGAAACCCTTTCACTTCTTTGGGTGCCGAGGTCCGCACAGGTACCGAAAACATCTCCAAAGTCAGAGGTGCTCGCGGATCATGTGAGTAAGTGCAGGCCTAAAGTACGACCAGGTCTCGGGTCGAGTCTCTGAGAGAAGTCAAGCCGGTTCCATCTCTACGTGTGACCCGACGCACAGCCACGCCTTGTCACCGACGGCACAGAAGCCCTTTGAGTGGTGAAAACACCTCGGTTTCCGCAGGGCTGAGTCCACGTAAAGCCACGCACCTGTTTTTTGCGACATGTCTCATGCATGAGGCATAGACCGAATTTTCTGATACCCAGGGCTCGCCTCGACATTCCGGAGGTGTCGAAGTTGAACCCGTCCATCAAAAGAACTCAAACTCTGAAGGCTGCACTGCTGTCAGGGGAGGGGTTTCCAACCTCGGGCAGTGGACGAATCATCCATGAATCGACCTCCTGGAGGCGTACCTCCTGCTACTAGCGTCATCTAGCGTCTGAAGCCAAGCTGCAGCTGTCGAAAATCCTTGTCTCTGTCGTGCCTCTTGAACAATCGCACGCGCACGACAAATGTTGCAAGAGAACTGTCAGCGTCGCGACATGCACGGGCACAAAGGGCCCGAACTTGAAACCCTCGAAGATTTCTCGCCTGCATAAATGTTCAAACTGAAAGCTGTGTGGAGTCTCCAATCTCAGGAATGCAAAGATCCACGAACTTGTATGAGGCCGCGGGCCAGGTCTGTCTGTAGATCGGCTCCAAGGTAGCAAGTTTGCCCTGGCATGAAAAGGTCAGTCTTGTGGCAAGACTACGACTGCCAAGGCCTTGAAAGTTGATGCAATGGCACTGAGCACCTGGGCAGGAAATTGAATCCAAAGGTCTCACATGCTCCAGCAGTTAGCTGAGAGCCGTACGTTCTGGTCGTAAGCATTTATCTCCCAGAGGCACTGCAGGGCATCCTTGGAACTGAGCTCACGGTGTCGAAGGCACTGCGTGAGCTATCCCAAGGCACGTGCATTCACCTGGGCTGAAGAGAGCTGATCTCTTTGCAACAATCTTTTGAGGACCTCAGCGAGAGTGAGCATAATCAGAAAAAGCCAAGATAAGTGCACCCAAGCAGGTTGTGCTGTCGCTTCAATGGTCGGGGGAGGAGGGGCGGGGTTTTCGGAGATGGGAAGACGGCGAGGCGTGGAGAGGGCATGGCTGGACCATGCTGGACCTGCATGTATGCACGTCAAGATCCAACATTCATCTCCAGGAGCCGAACGTCGTTCAGATCCTGCCAAATCTTCTATCCACTTGCCCACAAGACGTCGAGCTCTGGTCGGCGAACACTGGACGAGCAAGTCAAGGTTCAACTTGCGACATGACGACATGACGGGTCCCTCAAGATGTCGCCGTCGAAGAACTTCGTCCTTGCCATTGCCTCAACGTCAGCCGGCTGCCAAGGCCATGTGATTGAAACAGACAACACCTCAAAGCATCAACCACACATCACCCCTTTCTGAGTCTGGTTCCCTGCAAGCAGCCGCAACATTCTCAGGCGACATCCTTGCATCAAGCCAATCGCACATTCCGCAAGATGCAACATTTTTGAAGCGCGACTGCACTGTGTTTGTCCACACTGTTCGGCATCAGCAGTAGGTCGCTGAATTTGTTTTGCAGTGTAAACTCCTCCCTCAGACTGAGCGAGCCTTCTGGGCACCTGTTTTCCCAATAACAGTCTAGGCGCGCAAGCACAACCCCACACAGCGCACACCTTCTCTTAGCCGTAGATTTCAATAGCTTGCTCCATCGGCAGCGTCAGATCAATTCGCACTGTCGAGGAGACACAACCCGACACAAGATTTTCGGGATAGCAGACGCTAATCGAACAACACTCAGCGCATGATTCTGTAGCTCGTCAAAACCCATGGTGATTTTAGTGCCCTTCCATGCACCACTCTCCCCCCCGAAGCACTTTCACAGAGCGACATGGAACGAACAGCAGTGCATCACCAGACAGTCTATGCAAACAACTTAGTGAAGCATCTAGAATCTAGGCGGGATGTCATCGAACTCCGTCGGTTGCTGGTTCATAACACTTTTGGAGAGCAAAGGGCTTCACTGAATGTGCCCACGAACAAACTGTTGCCCGCTTCGTCGGCTGCTGTTGACCACTCCGATCGCTCCTCGCCCTTTCGGACAACGAGATGTTGACGAAGGTTGCTTGAGCATCACCGGTTCATAAGCACTACTTGCTTGGTCGGGTGAACTTTCACCAACCTGTACCACCTCGCGTCTGCGCTTCAAGAGAGAAACATTGCTAGCAATGCAGTATCAGCACCGAGAGATGTTCGTGCAGCAAGTCCTGCGCAGCTTTTTCAGCAAAGCCGGTGCCAAGATCATCATCTTCCCGAAGCTCTGCACCTGATGGCAGGCGATCGATGCACCCAGTCGGTATATCCCGATGTTGCGAAATGACTTCTTCCACTCTATCTCTCAGGTGGCATAGACAAACGGCAGCCGGTGACCCCGGCGTCTTCCTGTTTCTCCTGTTTGTCGCCGTCTGTGTTGTCGCCCTCACCGCGGCGGCTGCGGCTCCACCGCTGCTGTTGCCGCCGCTTCCGGCCCCCCCTGCCACCGGCACAGCTGCTTCTGCTGTTTGCAATGCTGGCTGCTGTCGTTGTTTTTTGTAGTTGTGCGCAGGAACGTCAACCTCAAGCTCCAGGCAAGCGCTTCTGGCTTGCCTCGTTCTCCAGTTGCCAGTCTCCGATTCTTCTGGTCTGTAAAATGCTGCACATTTAGACACAAGGCCTCGTCAAGGGTCTCAGCACTAACATCGGCATTTTCATCCTTGGCAAGATGCACGGCATCAGCTTCTCTTGCTACGCGAGGATTGTCAAAAGCAGCGAGCATACAACAAGTGTGATCTGCACAATTTCTGCCGTGCCCCTGGCATCATCTGCAGATTCCTTCTCCTTCTCTTTCTCCTTCTCTCTATCCTTCTCCCGTTCGCGGTCCTTCGGTCGATCTCCTCAGCTTGCAAGATCTTGCAAGCTTGTCGGACATCCAAGGTGGGTACAATCTGGTTGCAGGTGAAGTTCGGCGTCTCGACCTAGATCTGGACCTAGATCTTTCACGCTGGCGTGAACGCGATCGAGAGGGTTCTCGAGGCTTGCTGTCTGCCTTCTCACCTGCAAGTACTGCTGCAAGAACCTCTACCAAGACTGACTATGCAAACAGACACGAAAAGCCCTCTCAAAGGCAGCTGTGCGATTTGTGACCGGCAGTGCCTTTATCACCATCGTTCCCCTCCTCCTCATCTCCCTCCTCCTCGGAGTCCTGAGTCACACGAACCACAGCATAAGCAGCGCAGAAACCACATGAGAGCACATATGAACATGCGAGGTGAACAACACCTCCGCTTGAGCAGGGCCCACAAGCTCTGCAGCACACATGCATACCTCCTAGCTCTGAGCTGTTTGGGGCACCGACCATCCACGCGAACTCCTTCTCCTTCTTCCTGAATCAGGGCTTCTCCGCATCGCTACACTGAAGAAATATCTGAAACTTCTGGGCCGTTCTAACATGCCGGCAGCATCCCAGTCCTTTTTGTTTCCTTCTTGCTTTCTTTGGCATCTGCAGCAGTGGAACCAAGGAGCAAAACCGACACACACCACCCCATGCGGTATTTCCAAGGAGCGGAGCGACTTACATTACTGCAAGATGTTTCGCGACATACTTTTTGTAGTTGTAGTGTGATACTGGCAGTTGTACCACTGGGTATGACCATGGAGGTAACATAAGCTCCTTCATGGTGATGCTCTAGTATGACTGCATTCTTCCAAAAGCGAATTTCACGTTGGATATACTTTCATGGTTTGCCGGGACCTGGGCCTGATCCTGTTCCTTTCAGCTCGTCTTTTCTAGCTTGGTTAGACGAGCGGAGCATGGGTTGCGTATCATATCCTGACGGGGCTCAATAGAGATCTGAAAGGATCTCTGCGTCAGTTCACATGAACCGCATTCCTTCGTTCTCCCTTCCTTCCTTCCCTTTTGTCCTGTCTTTGCTGCTCCGATAGAAATGTGGAAGAGGAACTCTTCGGAGAGGTAAGGCAATCCTCAGAGAAAGGGGAACCCGTAACAGCCTGGTGCTCCACTGTCTTCTGTCCTTCTTTCTGGACCTGGTTTAGCGGGGATGCTTCATCCGGTGGCACTTTCGGAACACTGTATCGCCACAACGGCAGGAGCATGTGGGGGCAGTCAAGGAGGTTTTCTTCGTACTTTGCAGGCCGAGCATGCCCGAAACTTATCTCTCCACAAAGATGTCCAGAGCACAGAAGCATCTCAAGTGCTCACATGGTTCCGGAATACCTAAGTACCCTTGTGATCTATAAATCGGCACTGACACAGGACTCCGGCACCATGAAAGTGAAACGATGGCTGCTCATCCAGCCAGAGCGAAAGTCTCTTCACCATCTCAAATCTCAACCCATGGATTTTTCCTGGACCTACATATCTCTGCCAAACCGGATCCGCCGTTCTGGGAGAGCATCGCACGGCCCAAATAAACGGTCGAGTCAAGTGCGATTCCTTTCAGGTCTCACACATACGACACAATCGGAAAGCGGAGCGGTGCAGCGCAAGCATATACCACCGTCTGTTGCGGAGCAGAACTGTGGCAATCCTGCCTGGTGACTTACCGCTTCTGCAAAACACTTTTTGACAAATGCCTTCCAGCGTCGCACGGATCACCTCATCCCAGAACGAAGCGAGAAGACAATCTTCCATACCGTTTCTTTACGACTTTACGAAGCTGAGTCGCGCAGAGGCCTTCTTCTTTCGCTTGGGTGTGGCCTCTGAGGCAGCGGTCTCCTGCAGGTTCCTACACTATCGCCCGCAGCTGCTCAGCTCAGCTGCCAGCCTCCAGGCTTTTGGAGCCGGCCGATACTCCACCCTCCCCCACAAAACGGATTGATCTTGATTACCGACCATGGAAAGCTGCAGGAACGGCAGCCTCGCCCTCTGGCCACGACCATCAAAATCGATTAATCAGACGATCCCACGCTCAGCTATGCCTGCACAGCCGGTGAGCCAGTCCAAAACAAACTCAAAGCCCGGAACCTCTGAAGACAAAAGGAGGCACAAAATCAACCGTGTGAGCTCCTCTTCGGCTTCTGCAGCCCGCTTCCTCCAAACGACAGGCTCAGGCCAAGGCGACTTCCGCGTATTGTGCAAGTTGCAGCTGTGGCTCTTCTTCTTTTTTGGTGCTGGAGCCTCCTCTGCCTGGCTTCGACCATCTACGAGTCTATCTGACCGTTCCGCTTCCACTGCCACGAGAGCCCGCCTCCTCTTGAACTTCTGCCGCTGGCCTCTTCCTGGGCCACAAGGTCACGACGCTTCTCTGACCCAAGAGGTGGAAGCCACGTCACAATCCCTGAAGATTTAATGCAGCCGAAGGACTTCTTGGGCTTTACTGCCCCTTCCTCGACCTCCTCACCAGCTGCTGCAGCCTCCGCTGCAGCCTTCGCCTTTTTCGCCCTCTTCTTGCGCAGCTTCGTCACCTGCCGTGCCCGCTTCTCCCAAGCGTACAACAGACACTTCGACGACACGAACACCAGCCTCTTTAATGGCTTCCTGCATGACTTCCAGGTTCTTGCGTGGCGTGGTGCCCTCGGAGAGGAACGTTAGCCGCTCCTCCACCTGCCATGCCCGGGAGCACCGTGGGCAGAATCGTGCTGTGAGGACATGCCGTGTGCAGGCCTGGTCCTTCAGCTTCTCGCCGAAAACAGTGGTCGCTTCGTCAGAAAAGCAATCAATTCGCGATGCTAGGGAGCACTTGTTCGCCAAGTACCTGGGCTGGACCACTGGAATGACGGAGGCAACGCAGACTGGCAGGCATCATCCATCAGACGTCTGTATGGCCCGGCCTAGATATTCGTCCCTTGTTCTTCTGCTGGGCACGGCCAATGAAAGTCGAGTGGAATATCAATCCTGGCGTCTGCTGACAACTGTCTTTGGCACCAGTTTCACGGGTCCTGTTGAAACTCATCCCTCCATGAAGTTTAACAATAGGAGTCAAGCCGCCGTACTTTGGAGTGTT